AAGAATGATTTGTAACTTCACTCTCAGTGAAATTGCAATCATGGGTTTTCTGTGAGCCAGTGGTATCACTCCGGTCGCGGCCACGTACATGTGCCGAAACCTGGCCCTCCAAACTTTTATACAATACTAGCTTTTACTAGCAATACTAGGTTGATCACTAATAAACGAGCTGGTCAAAAGTAGCCTACCGAGGTTGTATCAGAGTTCTAATAATAGCAGAAGTAGCCATAGAGATAATATAAGTATATGAAAGTAGCTCGTGAAGAATTGAGTATGGAAGCATGTAATAATTCCTTGACCTTGACACATTTCACACACGGCCGTCTAATCCCAAACTAGGCAGAGCCGGTACTATGGTAACTAGACTGCACCGGGCGGGTAGCGGCATTCGGCCCCCGCCCGATTAGATACGCGTGTGGCGTGAGGCCGCTCGCCGAGCCACGATGGCTGGTTGGTCATCCCGGCTGGAGGCTCCACGAGCTGGCTTTGCCACCTTGGTGCCGTGGTGATAGTACACCCTAAACCTATACCTGAGTCGCAAGTCCCTGTCGAAGTCGCATGTGTTGCCCCGATCTATCATGCGATGGACCCGGCACCCGCACGGTGGATCCATAGAATATATATAATTTAATAATCCATAAGTAATAGGTCTGTGGTATAAAAGTAATAAGAGTTAGCACTAGTAACAATTAAATATAATCTGTTTTAGATAAGAAAGTCAGTATACATACATATATAAAGTTAATTCCTATTATAATGTAACCATGAAATAAAACCATTAACATATGAGATAGCCTATTTAAATATTTAAAGATATAAAAGGTAACTAAACAAAAAAAACTCTTGTCAAAAGATTGCGCCAAAAGACTACGGAGCGTAGAGGCAAGGCGGACCATCTGCGTATTAAAGTTTCCGTAAAAACGCGTCCAATAAGAGTGGCGCTGCCATAGCCTAGGATAAATTTATATTTTCTTAACTAATAATTAGACACTGTGTACTACACTGCGAAAATAGTCAATAAATTTTACAGACAATAAATAAATGTGTTGTAACTTTCAGACCGTATTATAATATTTTAACTCGGTACACTTCACTCCGTCTACAACAGCTATGTTCATATCGTAGTTTTTCGTACACCAGTGACCTCTATTTTTTTCCCTTTTTAATTTCCCCCCATATGAGATGGTTCTCCTCACCTCTACACTCCATACAAAAGACGAAGCCACTTCGAACAGATTAAAAATAAAATTGAAGTTACCAGTTTATTAACGTTTGCCTAGTCAAATTTCATTTCATTTTCGATTCAGGGTTTTCGAGTCATTCCATAGACTTCCAAGTCAGAAAGAGTGTATCTGAGGAGTTTTTTTGTACCAGTATTCACGTGTACCTATGCCTGACCTAATCATCCGTTCAGATCTTTTCATCTTCAATTTATTTATTTATTTCAAACTTTATGCAATATTGTACACCGGCGGACTTAATGCCCAAGGCATTCTCCTCCAGTCAACCTTTGGGTGGTGTAGAAGTCATATACGGCAGATGCACAGAGGTTACATATTATGAAATGTAATCTATGAAAATACATACATATACGACCATATCATAAACATATATATAAATATCTTTATAAATATACATACATATTATATTCGTACACTATGAATACCGCAATATAAGGTATACTATGGACTGGGTAGTTCTGCCATTTTATTAAGAAGTAGATTATGCACCTTCTTTTCGAATACAAAACGGTTAGTGGACATCCTGATTTCGAGCGGAAGCGCATTCCAGAGTAGTACTGCTGAAGATTTCTGTTGTGATTAGAAGACAGGTAACGGAGGTAGGGAGCGAGGTAAGGTACGTGAGGTCGGTGAGTTTAAAAGTGAGAATAGAGAGGTAAGTGCACGCAACCAGTTTTATTGGGAACGCAAAGCAGACACATGGTCATACTTCCGAAGATTGAAAATGTATCGAATGCAGTTATTGAGAAGACGGTCCAGCATATTAAGAAGGTCTTAGGTCATTATTTACTTAGGTAACTGGTACTCCACAACAGCAATAACGCAGGATTCAAGATGATGCCTTTAACATGGTAGGTAGACTCGCAATTGCCAAAAAAGCCTTCAACCGCAAAAAAACACCTATTCAAAGGCCAAGATCAACACTGAAATGGCTGCGAAACTTGGAGACTGATAAAAAAAAAAACAGGATGATGAACATCAGTTGGATATAGAAAAGAACCAAAGAGAAAGTCCTGCTAATGGTAACAGCCTAGATCAACGTACATACAGCAAGTGAATGAAGAAGTGGGAGTCGTGACCTATCAAGAGGTCAACCAAATCGATGGAAATAGAGAGACGTTTCGACTGCTACACCGACAAGGGCTTGGCATTTAAATGAGAGAAAGAGAGAGACTCCACTCCACTAGGGGGAAAGGAATTAGTATTTAGTACAATTACACTTAGAAATGATCACATCGTCACATCGTCACATTTTTCACAAATCGTCATTCAATAAAATATGTCATTGAAGTAATAATAATATTACATTAAATTGTTGTAAAAGATAAATATTATGAATTTATTACGAGTATAAATATGTACCTAAATACCGATCTGATAATAATGTTATGTTTAGAGACAGATATTTCAAGTTGCGTAATTCGTACGCTGTTCATTCTTTATCTAGTAGGTAACTATTTTTTTTTAACTTTTCCATTTACATTTATCTGGATAACTGGTAAAGGTGACTTTTTTATGTCATAGGGGGCACCGTGCAGACTGATAACCTGATTATAAGAGTGACACAGTCCGTGTAATGACCGATTAAGAATACGAAGTGTCACCACCTCTATTCATCCCATGGATATCGCAAGAGCAGACTAAGGGAGCACACTACCCAAGACAACAGCTCTGCAAAGAGAAGGAAAACTTGAAACAAACTCTATGTCAAACCAATTGTCCAGCGTGGTATATATGCCACAATTTCCTTTCTAAGGAGAGGCCTATATCCAGCAGTTGATTGTTGAAGGCTGTTGATGACCACCGACCACACTTGCAACTAAAAAGACATGAGTGCGTTGTCCCGATTTATGCCCCGAGTTGGACTTCCGATAAGCTCACTCACTCAGCTTTGTTTCGGCAAACACGGCTGTCTCGGTAGGGAGTGATGGAGTCTACGGCCTCACAGAGAACCTGTGTTAAATCATTCTTACTTTGCTTTTCACCACCTGAGTAAGGGATGGACTAAAATTACAATCACATGTGAAAAATCATATGATTGACAAATGAAACTAAAATACCTGTGACTGATTTACAAAACTACTGCTAGTTAAATATTATTATTACGTTAGCGCAAGACTCGCAAAAGGACTAAATCTAAAAAAAAAACGTTCCCAATCTTTGATAAAAAGAATTTTGATTGATTTTAATGCCATTTATCTTTGTCTATGACGAAATAACAATCACATGTAAAATCGCTGTGACCAAAATTAATAATTTATTCTAATGAATATGATTTAAAAGTAGCAATAACTTCCATGTCTAGTTACTGGAGGCCTAACCCTACCTTCTTCTCTAGGGGGAGGGGGTACTCACATTGCGACAACGCTCTCTTGTATCTTCAGTTGCAGGTGTCTATGGGTACCTGGTTCCCCGGCTATTAGTACCCGAGACGGCGTACGGTTTTAGTCGGTTCGAGTCCGACATGCCACCGATAGGTGGTATCCGAGGGGATTTCCGCACGGAAAAAAAAGGTGTCCATGGGCGGCACTAGTCACTTACCATCAGCTGACCCGTCTGCTCGTTAGCTCAGTATACCATAAAAACAAATTATACAGTGCTATCTCAATTTCTTGTCCCTTTTTTGCTACAGACACTTTTGTGAGTCATTAATTCGTTAGATCTTCATCATCAACAGCCTATAACAGTCCACTGCTGGACATAGGCCTCTCCTTAGAAAGGAGGTTTTGGCCTACTATACCACGCTAGCCAGACGGGCCAGATAGATCGTTAGATCTTAGATTTTCTTAATCACACATTCTTATTCATAGATTCACTACAATACAAATTATCTAGCTATCTTTTTCTTCTCGAAGTTAAGAGAAAAATGAGAGTTATAAATAATTTCCGTAACCTGAAATTATTTCATCCAAAGACTCCAGTCTATTTTAACTCAAAGACTAGTGTTCACTGTAGGTGAAAAAAGTTCGGTGAAGCAATCTATCTGTAATAAAAAAAAGGTAGCTGTGAGTTTGTTTGCCCTTTCTTTTCATAAGGTTCAACCCCTTGAAAACGGGCGGTTGTAGATCGGCACAGCATATAATGAATTTGATTTATTTGACAAAACAGATTTTTGCTATTATGTTCGTTGATCTATAACTTACTTAGAGTCTACATAAAAGACGATTTCAAGTAGTAAAAAATATTAATAATGTTATTTTGATATTGAATGAAAAGCCGATTGGCCCATGTTAACCAAAGCGATATAAAACAAAACAATGAATATTAGTAGTCGTAGTCGGAGTCTCGGTCAGCAAGCCGGTTTTTAGATTACCACTATGCTGGAAAGTTTTTACATTGAATAATAATACAAATCGATGAAAATATTCAGTTGCCCACCTATTTTTTATTTGCAATAATCACACCCAAAGTTGGATTTGTGAAATAAAATCAATACTTAAATAGGGATATCTAACTGCAATCGTGTTATAAGTTTAAATAAAACTTATAACAAGATTTTAAATAATGTAATAAATTATTTGACGCTTTTATCTTTAAAATTAACTGTGATAGCGACAATTTATACAATATGGTGGTGAAATATTATTATGCGGACGGACCCTAAAGCTTAAATAAATTGACAATTCAGTCTGGCAACATTGCTTCAAAGGGAAACGAATGTCATTCGTTCACATTCAATCGAATCACTCAAACGGAAGCAAAAAAATTTAAGTTTGTTTCTGTTATTGTGTTAAACTGGTGATGCGTGTGTCGATGAAAATGGAGTCGAAAAAACATATTTATTTGTTTCTAATAATCAGCTTAACTTCAATAGGTGAGTAAATTTTATATAATTATAATGTCATATAATATTTTAATGCGTTAATAACGTACGTAATACCGTAAAACTAGGTGCCCACGCCTTGTTTTCGGCGATCTTGTTCACGTCTGTTTACCGTAATAATAAATACTAGCTACAGTATGTGTTGTATTATTGTTTATTTTCGACATTTTTTCATCTCAATTAGGTGCTTAATGATATATTGAGGTGATACAAAAGTACCAAATTAAAAAAAAAAACCGGTTCCATTATTTTTTTTGTACTGTGTATCCTAGTGGTATATTCAAACATTTTTTACTTCTTAATTATATAGAACCTACTTTTATGTTTTTAAAAAGTAACTACAATTTTTTTCTTCAGATACTGCTTTCTGTCTCTTTTCTACCTTTTGCTATTATTCAAACAATTAAATTAGGAACTGCAATTTATTCCAACCAGTATGACATCGTAAAAGGCACAGGCCTCATTACAAACATCCTTATTACTCTTCAAATTTACATTACTACTTCTTGAATTTATGAGTCACGAATTTAAAACATGATCTACCTGTATTGTCCAAACCTTTCCCGCGAAAATGATTAATCAAGTCATGGCTAGGGAAAAAAAATATTACCAATAATATCTTATGAGCAGTAATTATGCCTTTTAATAATATCTGAAAATCTACGTGTACATAAACTAGCCTAATAACTTAAAGCTGACACTTTTCAGTTTGTAGCCCCAGGTTTAAACTCTGCGTTGATGAATCAGTCAGTCGGAACTCAGACCTGGGCAAGTGATTTTATGAGTCTCATCAACAATATCCTGATTTTTATAATGAAAGTTTCAAACATTAGGTTACACTATTGTACTTTTCATATTCATCTCTAATTTATTTAAAAATAGAATAATAGATTACCATAGCTCTATACTACTATAGGAGTACTCTTTTGACCCCTTTAATATCAAAAGCAATGTTGTGCGCAGTATGCACCTTAAATTTTTCCAATAGTAACATTTTAGATTGATTGTCATTTATTGTATAGGTGTAGTGTCGTGTTAGTTGGTGATCCAGCACCTCTGTTAAATAATAATGATTCTATTCGTGAATACCTGTAGTATATCAATCTGACCATTTCATTTTTGTACCTGTTGGTGTTCCTAACTGAAGTAATTAAATAAATAAAAGTGAAAATAATAAACTTTTAAAATAGTATCATAAACTTCAATCACCTACATCATGATTGATTATTGTAGTGAATATGTGTTATTCATACTATTGAGGCCAAACAGAAATGTAGCCTCCCAAACTCTAAAAAACAAAGAATAAAATTCTAAAATATAAAATAAATAAGAAGTTTAATAAATGACGGAATTTGGAGAAAACAAACCAAAATATATACTACAACTGAATTGCGAACATTCTCCTTTTACAAACACACAAACAAATCTATTGTCTTTAAAATTAAAATAACAATAAAAAAGGGTGCTAAAATTGTATCCAGAGTGATCGCCGTACTTAGGTTGTATTCTTAGATATGCTTTCGGTGTTACACATACTAGTGCTGATTGGTGTATCACAGTTGCCGGTCTGTACCCATACACCTTACAAGTTTCCTGGTAGGTTTTGCCAGAGCTATTTATTTATAACTAAATTCAAAAGTAGTACACTAAAGAACATATTTCCTTACAAGTTATACATAGGCGGACTTAATGCTGGGTAAAAAAAAACAAGAAAACATGTTATTAATATTATAATCTCAGGAATTACTAGTTGGAATTTTTGTTGGAATAGCCTTTTATGGTGCTGTGGGCTATATAAAATTAGACTAGAACCAAACAGGGAAAATTAATTTCTTTCAAGAGACGCAGATGATGTTGCATGGTTCAGCTGGTATTAAATATATAAACAAATAAATACAATTAAAGTGTCTGTTTGTAATGTCAAAATGACAGGTTTTTTCATGCTTACATGGTTATTTGCAGGATACCTATGCCTAAAAACAAGTTTAAATATATTTTGTCTCTGTCTGTTTTGGGTATATGTTCAAAACGGCTGGAATGATTTTGATAATATTTAACAGGTAGCTGTCTATATAAGGAGTAACTTAGGCTATTTATAGAAAAACCCTATAAAATTTTGCCCGGGAATCAAACCCACTAAGGCAGCACTTTTCAAATTCCATTGAACGAAGTCACGGGAACCAGCTAGTTATTAATAATATATCACAATATACATTTGTTTTATAATAAAAATGTAAAAACTTAACTGATCAGAATTAAATTAATAATAATGTCCTTTTGTTGTTTCAGTCTCAGCACAGAGGACACCAACCATCTCGCACATAACTCAGGAACAGATAAGAGATATTGGTGGACAAGTGGACTTGGATTGCTCTGTGCATTATGCTTCAGACTTTCCAGTTATTTGGGTAAGAAATTAATCTTGTTGCAACCTATGTTTCAGTGTATTTTTTTTATGAAATTTGAGAGTGAATGACCTGTTCATTGACTACTCAGATAACCTGATAGACCTGACCTGCTATCCAAACCCCCCCTCCTCCCCCCCTCTCCCCCAAAAATTACTTAACACCAGTTATCTGTGAGGCTGTAGTATCACTCTCGTCAAGCCAGACTATTTGTGGTAGGGTTCTATGGATAGGGCCTTAAAAATGTTGGATGACATTTAAAAGATACAAATATTTTCACAAAATTAACTTTGATTGACGATCAAAGCTTACTTTTTAATTCCAGTTCACCACTAAAGCATGTATTTTTTGGTTTTAAAAAAAGGATTACCATATCAGTAGTTGTTGTCACATATAAAAAATACATGTAATAAGTCAATGCCCTGTGGATAAGATAAACAAGTACCTATTTATCTTATAAAGGTTACATATTGTTGAGAAAATTGAACTGTAACCCTATGGACCACAATCAATGTTCCATACAATTTATCTTGTATGTAAATTGATATGGGGTTGTTGACCTTATAATGAAATAATTATTATTTATGAATTACCCCTCCCCTTCAGCTTTCACATAGTAAGTCATAAATGACGATGGTAAAACCGGACTGAACCAAGTGTAACTTTTTTCAAATTAGCCTTTTGTCATAATAGCACAAAAAACATACAATTCTTTAATACCACAGTACTATTTTCCCAGAGAACTGTATATATCTCACTGTAGAATGATGTCTTTCTGACTGCTAATGCCACGATCATTTTGGTGATCCAAGTGATTAATTTTGTGTAAAATTTTAATTTGTGTTACTATAAATTAAAAATATCGAAGGAAACATTGTTATAGATTTAATTCAGTATGCTAGGCATGATTTTAATAAATATTTAATAGGAATGAGGCATTTCTTTTTTCATCACAGGTACAAATATCTATCCCTAGTTTTTTGAAAAAGACAAAATTATGACTTAGATCAGTCTGGTTCTTAGTCAAATATGGTTTGTAATCATTTCTGCAGACAGAAAGGAAAAAGTAAATTAACAGGTCTTTAAAAGATTAATATATTATGAGACACCTGAAAGTTTAATAAGTGCCAAACTCTGCAAACCATATTTGAATATAGAATATATTGACTACGTGACGACAATGTAGCCATCTCCTGCCCTGTGACCAAGCTGTAGCTGACCAAGTAAGTCAGTATTTTGAAGACCCCTCCCTCCTCAGAACTGGTCACGCAGTATGTGTATGTTCCCTAAATATATTTTGATACAATTATTGAATTTAAAGAATATTCTTTAAATTCAAGTAACCAAATACATTGATGGAATACTTTAAAAAATATATATTGAGCTATCGCTTAATTTAAAAATATTCTTTAAATTCGATTATCAAAATATATTTAGAGAATACTTTACTTTTCTTTAATATGAATACTTACATTTTTCTTGCATATATTATTGTATCACTATGTATATAAGATTTTTAACTTCACGGCGTTTGTTCTGTACAAGTACAATATACTAAGCAATAATGAGACTAAATTGTATTGTGACATATTTATTTATACTGACGAACAGAATTTAACTCATTCAATACATTTTGGGGTTCCGTGAGCGTTGATCGTTAGGCCAACACGATGGTCAGAACAAACCAAAAACTCGCCTGCCAATAAAAAATGGAGACTCGGATACCAATTGCTTTTCATTGAGTGATCCAACCCCTTCTCCTATTTGGTGGTGGGGGGGGGGACGCAAATGCAAGTGTCCATGGGCACTGTAGGCATCACTGTCAGATATATAGATAATGGATACATTACCCGAAGATACAAATTACCGTACTTATCGTAGAACTATTGCTTATGGTGGAAATCAAATCCACGACCAGCTCAGCAGTCAACAACAGGCTCATTTCGATATCAGCGTCTTAGTTTCCTTATTACCTGACTGTGCCAGAAAAGAGTGTTATGTTTTTCTAGTGTCATCATCATCATCTCAGCCGAAACGTTTCCACTACTGGACATATAGTTTGCCACAACAACCGGTCCTGTGCTGACCGCATCCAACGGCTTCCCGCGGCCTTCACCAGGTCGTCGGACCACCTTGTGGCCTACCCACACTGCGTTTTCCTGTACGCGGTCGCCACTTGAGACCTTTATGGCCCCATCGACCATCTTTTCTGCGAGCAATTGTCACATTACGAGTGTCTTGATGAATATTTTTTCAGCAGGACGCTCTGTAGTTCAAACAGCTTGATGGACTTTGGCGTTTGAGGTCTCACCATGTCGTTTGATTCGTCTTAATTTTGAAAGCGACGCTGGGTATATGAAAATTTATATCGCCGGCTTGTAACTTTTAAGTATATATTTTCACGCAGTCGGGTATTTTTGGTTATTTTTTTGTGTTCAATAATTAGCTTGCTTAAGAATCTTTTATATGCCTACGGAATTCTTAACTAAATATAAACTTGACTTTGAACAATCAACGGAACAATAGCCCATCACTGTATTCAAGGATAAATAAATGTTCTTCTGAAGGAAGTCTTTATGTACAATTTGTGGTGTTTACATAGTGTGTACAAAGACGATAATTTTTACTTTACTTTGTTTACTTGAACTTGAATAGTCTGAAAATATTTGTGTTGTATTTGCTGTTGAAAAAAAAGAGGTACTGAATTGATTTGTTTTTTTTTTTTATGTTTGTTACCTCAGTAGTTGGTCGTTTATGAACTAATTGGGAAAATTATTTTTTAACCGACTTCAGAAAATGATGATAAAGTTCGTTTTCGTTTTGTTTCCGTTTCGTTATTAATTTAATCTTGTATAAATTACTAAGTAAAGGTATTGCTTTCGTTATTTTTGAACTTTGCGTAGGTATAGCAATAAAGATCACTGTTTATTTAAAGTAAACTAAACACTCGCTTATAGCGAGTGTTTAGTTTAGTGTAGAATTGTAATATAAAGATTCATAGGTTTGGGTATGAAATGTAAATACCATTTTTTTTGTTTTCAGTACCTGGGTGTTTTATAAAGGTGGTTTTTTTTATTTCAAAATAATTTTTGATGTGTTTGTTTTTATTTGAAAGAGTAGAAATATTTACATTTTTAGTATATTTGAATATATATAGTAGAGAAGAGTACATATTTGAGGAAAATATTCTATTAAGGTGAAAATTAAGAAAAAAGAATTTAGTTAATTTAAATTCATCATGATGAAAGAGAATTGAAGTTAGTGATAACACGGTCGCCATGCGCCATTGTTCATGCCACCGCACTGCGGCTCAGGGTGAAGTGGTATGTCAGAATCGAACCGACTAAAACCACAGGGTGTTCTGTCACAAGTCAGTAGTCTAAGTCCAACAGTGGACTATTAAAGGCTGTTGATGATATTAGTATAGAATAGATAGTATTAGAATTTAAATAAAATATTGTATTAATTCCACAGGTGAAGTACGACCGATTGAGGACATTAGAGTCCATCCCCCTGTCCAGTAACGCTGGTCTGATCATCAAAGACTCCAGATTTTCTCTTCGGTTTGATGATGCCACTGCTACTTACACACTATCAGTAAGTAATTTTTTTAATGCATCCTCACCTCACGTTTTTTTTACCCGTCTGCCAAGGAATGGTAATGTTTTTCGCGCGTATCTTGTATGTATGCATTTAATATTCTTTATTACCTCATAACTTCCAAACCGCTGCACGGATTTATTTAATTATCATATCGTTAGATTCGTCTTGGTAACTCAAGTGTTCTTAGATAGGTGACGCTAAAAAAAACATGACGACTGTGAGACGCTATAGATTAAAGTAAAATAATTTTTTTTTGGATACTGCAATATGGGTATCAAATTAAAGGAGGATTCATCAAGAGGATTTTAAAATGGTAAACTTTTAAATCGTCTTTTTGCAGTCGGGTCTTTTTTTATTATGTATGTGTTGTTTTACTGGCCTATTGGTCTAGTGGTTACTGACCCTGACTGCTACGCCAGAGGTCGTGGGTTCGATTCCCACCTAGGACAAATAATTGTGTGATGAGCATTGTCCTGTGTCTGGCTTAAAAAACGGAGGTTCTCTATTCTGTTGCATTTTTCTTATAGGTCCCATTACTTAAATTTGCAAAAAATACAGGGTTTAAAATTAAAAAATGCAGAACACAGTATATGAAAATTCGTCTGGAAGTACATATTTAAAACTTGTTTATACCCGTGGTTCCGCCCGCGTGTATGTCGGTTATCGCGGTCAAAATTCGCCTATGTTCTTCCTCAAGAATCAAAGTATCTCCATGCTGATTTTCATTAAAATCGGTTCAGCGGTCTAGCCGTAAAAGCGGAACAGACAGAGTTACATGCGCATTTATAATATTTGTAATAAAATATTTTTTTCAGATTAAAGATATTCAAGAAAACGATGCCGGCTGGTACCAGTGTCAAGTATTGTTGTCCATTAGCAACAAGATCACCGCTGAAGTGCAGCTCCAGGTCCGTCGGCCACCCATCATCTCGGATAACTCGACGAGGTCTCTTGTTGCGAGCGAGGGAGAGAGTGAGTATTTGGTTACCTATTCTACTCTTCTAATAAATTTTCGATACGTCTACGATTTACGTGCGTTTAGGCGATTCTGCCATACATATTATAGAAATCAAACATAGCTCACGTAGGACCCGTAATATTTGTGGCCGTGGTGCTTCCCTGTTTAAAAGGGTGTATGCCCATTTTACTTCATTTTGTCTCCCGCTTTGCTAAGGAGAGAAGTGGATTTACTGTATTTCCAACTCCTCCAATTTTCTTCTGATTAATTTCGTTGCGGGTTCCAAGACAGTTTAATTTCTTCCTGGGACTTCCCGAGTGTCATAACTCGGTGTGTTCGTGGGTCACTGCTGTGGATCCTGGTGTACAGGAGTTACAGCGGTGGGCGTGTGGGTGGGATTAGTCCCAAAATGTCTACGATTTGAAGTACAGGGTGTAAAGGACAGCAACGATAACGCTACCGTGGGAGAGTCATGCTTCGGCACATATGTGAGCCAGTTTGACCTAAGTGATACCACGGCCTCAAAGTAGTCAGTAACCCCCCCTCGTTTAAGCGGTCGCCGCGCCGCTTCCTACTACGCTGAGTGTTGTGGATTCGAACTCCACATGGGACTACACTTTGTGTGATCCACATATTGTCGTTCTGAGTCTACGTGTTCTTTCTGTCCGTTTCATATATTTGCAAAGTCCCCCGCGATACGAGATATATTCCTAGTGCGGAAGTTGTCTTTTAAAAAAGAAAAAAATGGGGGTATTCTAGTAGTTCTTTTTTATACTAATTGTGTTTTTTTTTAGATATAGATGTGTCTGGCGCATGTTATCAGTAGCTATGTGAGGTTTAAGTTGATATTTATATGCAATTTTTAAATACTTAGGTGTGCAAATGGATTGCTACGCCGGTGGATTCCCATCGCCGAAGATTTCGTGGCGTCGTGAGAATAACGCCATTTTACCCACCGGTGGCTCCATCTATAGGTATGTTATAATCGAAGACCCACCCCTTCACCTGACCCCATACTTGACCAAAAAAACCATACTGGTTTTGTACTATGTTTTTTTTTACTCACCAAATTTTTTAATGACGAGCATGTTGATCCAGTGATTAGTGATGCTGACTGCTAAACTAGAGGTCTTGGGTTTGATTCTCACCCAGGACAAATATTTGTGTGATGAACATAATCATTCATTTTATCTATAATATTTGTGTATTTAGAAATATATAAGTATGTTTATCAGCAGTCTGGTTACTATAGCACAGGCTCTGTCTAGTTTGGGATCAGACAGCCGTGTGTGAGATGTGTGAAATTATTATTAATGTATTATGGTTTAACACCTGATACGATAACACTCCTTGGGAATGGGAATCGGATAGACCGAATAAGAGAACTTGAGAAACCTCACTCAGTGAAAAGCTGCGAAAAAATTGCTCAATACCAGTTTTCAGCTGGCCCCTGGCATCTTGTGTCAACTAGGGTGAATTTCCGTGCGTTTAGGCGATTCTGCCATACATATTATAGAAATCAAATATAGCTCACGTAGGACCCGTAATATTTTGTGGCCGTGGTGCTTCCCTGTTTAAAAGGGTGTATGCCTATTTTACTTCATTTTGTCTCCCGCTTTGCTAACGAAGTGGAAGTGGATTTACTGTATTTCCAACTCCTCCAATTTTCTTCAGATTAATTTCGTTGCGGGTTCCAAGACAGTTTAATTTCTTCCTGGGACTTCCCGAGTGTCATAACTCGGTGTGTTCGTGGGTCACTGCTGTGGATCCTGGTGTACAGGAGTTACAGTGGTGGGCGTGTGGGTGGGATTAGTCCCAATATAAAAAAAAAACAAAAAGGCCCCTGGCATCACTCCGTTTTATCCAGCCGTTGGTATGTTTAGTTGGTTCGTATTGAGTATGATTAATTTAATAATAAGATGTTTTATTGAGAAAGTTTTACTTATCTGTAGCACAGATAGGTGAACAGTTGGGAGCGATAGGTTATCGTGGCATTGACATCTCATACAGACAAGAAAAAAAAACCTATGAAGGTTGATAAGAATAGATGACGGACGAATAAACTGAACTGCATTTATTTATTTTTTACTTTGAAACGTATTGTAACAAACGAATATTGCTATGTAATGTTTTCTATATTCGGAAGCGGGCGTAAATAGTTGCAACACAGTTTCTATTACTGCAGCTATTACCGTACTATTGTATTTTGGACGTTATAATAGTATTCAATAATAATAATAAAAAAAAACAGTTATGACTAAAAGTGAAAAATGTTAGAAAATAATAATAATATTTTCGGACATCTTACACACAACGCCATCTAGTTCCAAACTAAGCAGAGCTTGTACTATAAAAGCTATATAGAATGTATGTAAATTAGACTTGCAACGAATATTCGGTTACTATTCGGTATTCGGCCTATTCGGCTGCTTTTATTATATTCGGCCGAATACCGAATATCTACATATTATTCGGCCGAATACCGAATACTTAAATAATATATTTTGTCATTGAGAAATAATTGATAAAATGAAAAATTAAAATCGATTGATTACGTATATATTCATATTTTCATTTCTGTTATAATCATTTAAGTAGTCATTGGTGCATAACACAGGTACATAATCATCTTCTGAATAGGAAAAATGGAGGATTCTATGTATTTGAATTATTGTGGTAATCAAAATTTAGAAGGGTAAGGTTCTCATTTCTTTTATAATCATTTATTAAGTAGTCATTGGTACATAAAACATGTACATAATTTAATTCACGTCTGTACAAGTTTTGGGCGCTAAAATCCAGCCGAATACTTTTGCCTAATATTCGGCTATTCGGTCAGGGGCCTCGCCGAATATTCGGTATTCGGTATACTGCCGAATATACTATTCGTTGCAAGTCTAATGTAAATGAATATAAAATAAATACATAGAAAACACCCAAACTCTGATACAAAAATTTGCAGATTATACAAACATTAGTACAGTAGTCGCATAGGCCACCACTGCACGACCCATGCAGGAAGTACAAAACATTAACCGACCCCAATTAAAAAATATAATGTCCGCACATCTCACACAAGGCTGTCTGATCTCAAACTAAGCAAAGCCTGTACTATGGTAACCAGACTGCTAATAAACATACTTATATATTTCTTAATACACACATAATATTATAGTTAAATTACAGACCCAGACACAGAACAAATGATTTCACTCAAAAAACAATTTATCCTGGGTTTGAATCGAACCTACGACCTCTAGATTAGCAGTTAGAATCACTGACCACTAGACAGTTGGGCCCCGTAACTGGACATAGGCTTCGCCCGATATGTGGCTTATAATTCAGTCCTCCAGCTTCTCAAGGTAGTTCTACTTCTCAGTTTCGGTTTTGCGATCTCCACTCTAGGATCCTTTTCCAGCGGCCATCGGTCTACCGTGGCCAGCCCTTCAACAAGAGTATGAGATAATGATATAGTTCCTAATTATATAATACTTTCAGAGGCAACACCTTGAAGATAAACCAAGTCCACAAGGAAGACCGCGGCACGTACTACTGCGTGGCTGAAAACGGCGTGGGCAAAGGCGCCAGACGTAATATCAACTTGGAGGTGGAGTTTGCTCCTGTAGTTACTGTTCCCAGGCCTCGATTAGCTCAGGTAAATTTTTAATACCTCTTCTGATACCTGACGGAAACACCATAGAAATGTAGAAGTATGGTTAGACTGTATTTAAGCCTGAAAAGGGCCCCTCATCAGTGTGTGAAGCGACCTGTGACATCTTTGGTAGTCAGCGCAACACTAGTTAGCTTTCTGGCTGGCATTTAGTGAAGTTGCAAAAACTGTATGTATAAAAGATCGCCATTAAAGCTTATCGTGAGAAGGTGTATATGCTTGTCTATTGTTTGATGCCTCTGTCTAAGATACCTCTCCCAATCCCTGGTCTTTCGAGCCCCTTCAGTGTCAGTGTTCGATAATAGAATTTATGATTAAAATTGGACTTGGACTAAATTAAAACAAACACCTTGTACTATGGGTAACCACACACCTGATATAAATCCATATATACGTGTTTTTGTAAATACATACATATTTTACATAGAAACACCCAGACCAAATCAAAAACTAGTTCACATGTTCACGTTCACACGTTATGTACAATAACAAATTTATTTTAATATTTCCTAGGCTCTGCAATATGATATGGACTTGGAGTGTCACGTGGAAGCCTACCCCCCTCCTGCTATCACATGGCTAAAGGATGAAGTGCAGCTCTCAAACAATCAGCATTACCGGTAGGACTATTTGCTTTTCCCTGTTGGTATTTTTGTGAAAGAACTGGTTTCAGATTTTTTTATGGTATAAAGGACAGTGTCGTGACGGATTAACAATACGGAGTGCCACCCATTCATACCGTGGGTGTCGTAAGAGCTGACTAAGGGAGCAAACTATGCAGGGCAACAGCACTGCAAAGAGAAGGAAAACTTAAAACAAACCCTATACCAACGCTGGCCAGCGTGGTATAGTAGGCCAAAACCTCCCTTCTAAGAAAATACCTATGTCCAGCAGTGGACTTTTAAAGTCTGTTGCTGATGATAAATGCTTTGCTGCCCAAATACGCCTGCATTAAATATGCTAGCTGACCCGCTCAACGTCGTCTGCCTCTCTTAAAAAGAATAATTTGCTTCATTTTTCTTTGATTGTCTATAGCCTTCTTCGATAAATGGGCTGTCCAACACTAAAAGTTTTTTCATTTGAACCAAAGTAGTTCCTGAAATGAATGAAACTTCAGTCTAATAATTAATACTTCCATACTTATGAGAAAGTGAGTTCATTTATTTATTACGCTTTCACGTTTAAAGCAGTAAACTGATTTCAAAACTTATTTCACCAATGGAAAGCTACATTATCAGCGAGTAACATAAACTACTTTTTACCGCGATAACCGACATACACGCGGGCGCAGCCGCGGGTATAAGCTAGTATTTTATCTTTCGATTCAAAAACACAAACGAAGTGACTTCACTCAAATTTCAATTTAAAAAATTCGATTCAAAAACAAACGAAACTTAGACTTCTATACCCGTGTTTGATACACGGGTATAGACGATCTGCGTCCAAAGGCTAGTATAAGCCATAAGTATGAATTTGACTACTAATTCTAGGATCTCCCACTTTGCGACGGCCGATGAGTTCACAGACACCACAATCAGGGTCATCACGATTGAGAAACGTCAGTACGGTACCTTCAAGTGTAAGGCTCAGAATAAATTGGGCACCGATGAGGGTCAAGTTGAACTGGTCGGTGAGTTGAAACTTTGTCTCTTATTGATGCATAGATAATTTGTTTTTTTTGTTTGTTATTCCTAAGAAGTTTTTAATAGTTAGAAGTTAGAACTATTTATCATAAGTATGTTCAAAGTTTATTGATTTATGTTATTCTGAATGTTAATTAAATTTATGAGTGATTTTACTAAAATGTTGTGTATTTCTTGATTCTCTTTTGGTTACATACATCATTGCTTATAGGGGTCGAATTTTAAGGCGTGGTATTTTGAAGACGCCTCGTTCCTGGTTCCCCAGGAAAATTACAAAATTATCAGTTTTATAAGGAATACACAAATTTTGGTTAAATCACCATCAATATATCCTTATTCGCTCTACATTGAATATCCTAGAGTGCTTGTATTTTTTACGTTTAGTTTTGCAATTTTTTGAATTTGCATTTGATTTTGTAACGATCTTATTTTGCTGAAATTTTTGTTTTTTTTTATTCTTCTTTGTATGTCAGAATTAAGAATAAGTTGGCCAAGTTAATTAGATAGTGTTTTAATAAATGAATGATATACGGACTATTTCACAGGATACCACAAAATTTTTGAAACAAATACTATGTTATCATTAGTTGATTTATAAATTATAAACTAAACTATTTAGTCGTTTAGCTAGAAGGTATTTTATGGAGTTTACTCTTTAAGAATCGATTTTCAAATAAGGCGCCCAGTATGAAAAAAATATGACGAGTAAAATTTTGTGATCGAATGATCTCGTTAAGTTTTTTAGTTCTTAATGTAATTTATACATGCCTTATATTTCACTAAAAGTTACATAGATGGCGCTAATCACTAAGTTTGTACGTACACAGAGTATGCGTTCTTAAGGAGTAAACTCCATTCGTGCATCGGAGCTGACACACACTTTTTTGTTTACTAAAAACTTAAACTAGTTAACTTGGCTTTATCGTACTTTTGATACTATTTATAATTGCTTCATGTAATAAAAAAAATGTTTCTTTTTTTTTAAGTATCTTGCCTCCAAACAATATACGTTTTGTATCCAAGTTATTAGCAAACCTTCAATTTGGTAATAGGTTGTCAAGTCAAATTTGTATTTATTTTATTTATTAAACGTAAGAAGTAGCAAAGAGTGACGTCATTTGTTACTAATATAGGTAGTTCGATAGAAAACTTTTTATTGCACACTAAAAACATAATACTTATACAGATTGTTATATACACATAATAATACAATAACGTATATTTACGTACTTGCAATACGTTATACGTATAAACATACATATTCTAATACCAAAAAAAACAGAAAAAAAACTGTTAACTTTTTTTAGTTTTTATGTAGGCCTTTATGTTGGATAGCCCATTCAACATTAAGGGAGGATTAAGCTAGATTACGCCCCTAAGGCGCAAGAATATTGTGCGATACAGGATCAGTGGTGTTCAGGTGGTAGTGATTACTATGTAATTCGGGTTATCTTCACTAGATGGCGCTTAATTTATTATTCACATATCTACATGTCGTCTTACACTATTAGGAATATAATTTATATCAAAACTATTCTATGTGAGCATTTATGATACAAAGCGTATACTGTGGAATGTATGTCGGCGACAGTGCATTGCATGACCTTTATTCGCATGCTTATAGAGTCGATAATCCCGGTGTGCCCGCCCGCGTGCGGCACGGCTCACTACGGCGGCGCGTACAGCCCCGCGCCCTCCGCCCCCTCCCTCGCCGCGCTCGCCGCCCTCTACCTCGCCTACGCGCTCAGGAGGTAAGTCTACCTTTTAAGTGGAATAGCCTTCTCGCAGCTTTACGGACTCTTCGTATCCGGAAAGATTCGACGACGGCCTTGCAATAAAACGATGTTAAACAATTCTATTCTTTTCATCGATTGTGTGTGGTTAAAGGTGGTCCAAATCACCCCCTCCCCTGATTCTACTTTTCGGGAGGGACATTCAAAAAGCGACAATACATATTTCAAAACCATTTTCTTTTCATGTTTATGCTTTTTAATTCTTTTTGTTTTAAATGTACTTAGTTCAAACATGTAGTCCAACGCATGTTAGTCTGCTCTCTCACAAATTTCTATTAAGCTTATCGAGTATTTTTGATATAAGCTTCCTGTAAAAATCAAGAATATATTATCTACAATTTCTAGAATTAGCGTTTTTCGTTATTGACGGGGTCCGTATACGACCTTAAAATTACGATAATAATTGTATTTATAACACTTTTTTTCTAATTCCAGAGTCGCCAATGCCAGACATTAATTATCCAGGCCTTCGTCCGGATCCGCTGGTGTACGGAAATCCGGATACCGCCACCACTAGTACCGCACATATCTTCTATACACTGACCTTGACGTATCTTGTGAAGGTTTTAAGTTAAGGAAAATTAATTAATTAATTGTTTGATAATATTAGCGTATATTGCGCCCAAAACGTCCAAAAATTTTAAAACCAGCAGAGATAAGAAAGAAAGAAGAAGAAAAGAAAGGTTATACATAAATTAAGAATGTATTTTGACCTTTGAAATAGATTTTTGTAATACTTGGAAAAAATCAAATGCAGGGCAAATTTTGAAATGTATTTTCTTTATTGTTTAATATTTATCACTTTTTATATTCAGCACACTTGGCAGTTATAATAAAAAAGAAAAAAATAGATTAAAAATTAATTACGAATTTTTGATATGCAAGGAAAAATTACAATAAAGAAAGTTCGTTATAAGATTTATTCCTTCAATATAATAATTAGACTAAATTTCATAAACAAACTATTGAGAAACCATAACTATATATAGTAGGCCAAGACCTCCTTTCTTAGAAGTTGCCTATGCCCAACTGTGGGCTATTAACGATTTAACACCACAGGCACAAAAACCTAAAACATACTCAAAAAATATTACATTTAAAATCTAAAACGAAATGTCTCAAAAACCATAAAATATACAAATTAAAATTGTGACATGATTATCTCAAAGTGGATTATAAATCATTACACATAAGGTTGTAATTTGCACGAGTGGCAAACCTTTCCAGTTTAAAAAATAGATGTAGTTGAAACACTAGCAATGTGTAATATATACATCGCTAGTATTTATAGCGTATGTGTACATTGCTATGCCGTTATTGATAAAACTGTATGCAATATGTGACATCTTAGCCTATGACTAATAACTTTTCCGTTAAAGTGCTTCGACGCAAAAGGGGCTGGCTTAGACTGATCCCAGACCTCCACTTGAAACCGGTGTTAAGTTATTCACCGAGTGTGCGAGGTTGCCGGAGATCAATCCCCCCCTTGTTGGTTTGGGAGGGGGGAGGGCCTCCAGCCAGCTAGCCAGGAGGAACTTGTTACTCTGAAGTAGCAAAAGTCTGAGGCCGGCGGTAGTTACCATGACCCGTCTCCGAATATTGAACTTTATGAAATTAGGGTGAGAGTTGCAATTCCTACAAACGTTTTTAATGCCAACTCATATGGCGTATCTGACTGTGGCGTCATAGCTCTTAAACGGATAGACTGATTTTGATTGATTTTTTTTTATGTTTACAGACTTATTTCATACAGTTTTCTCAATAAAAATGGACATATTTTTACCTTTAGAATAACAAAGATAGCGAGTAGTACCTGCAACGTGGTGTGTATATTTTGATACTAAACTGTATGTATATTTAGAATTTTGACAAAGCGATGCGATGTTTAATGTAACTATAGTTCATTCGCGTTAAGAAAATAGTGACGCATCGATAAGGCCCGCCCCTGACCAATCAGGATCCAAGAAATTATCGTTTCGTACGAAATTTTGGAACCTGTTTGGTCAGGGTGTGGGGCTTCATCAACTTTAAATATCGGTGGTGTCAAACTAGCTTCAGGCACCAACGTAGCCCTTTTACAAGAAGCGAAGTGTCCTATCGGGACGGTTTCAGCCCGTCACAGCTTTAATGAATAGTTACATTAATCTTTTAAGTTAGAATATACAGGGTGTAAGGGTCGGTTTAACGAATACTGAAATAGTGTATTCAGAGTTCAGACCATCATTCTGAGTCAAAAATTATTGGAATTTACTGCAAAAATGATCAAATGAAAATTCATCAATTTTTTTATAATTTTCATTTTTTTTTAGTTTCCATACACCCTGTATAATAATATGTGCTTAGCCTAATACATCTGTATTTAAATAGAAACGTTCTCAATATAAAATCGCATCGCTTATGTAACAATGACTTACTATTAAGAGTGTACAAGACCCATTTAATTGCTTATTTGCACAGAGATTTTTCCGTTTATTTTTTACATATAAATGTCTATTGTTTAGTCGAATATTGCTTTATAGAGAAACCAGTTTAATTCTGACATACATTTGCCTGTTTATTTAATGGATGATCCATCTAGATTGCAAGCTATATTATAATTAATAATATGTGCGACTAACCTTTGTCCGCGGCTCCGCCCGTGTGTATGTATCTCTGTAAAAAAGCCGATTTTACTGGCTGATAATGTAAATTTCCATACGTGAAAGAATTTTTAAAATCGGTTCAGTGGTTTAGGCGTAAAAGCGTAATAAACAAACAAACTCATTTTCATATAATGTAAGTATCAGCGACGATTTAAGGATTATTTTCTATCCTTCGGGAAAATTATTTGTTTCCCGAATAAAGTGGTAAAAAAACCCCTTAATCTGATAATGTAAGAGTGTCAATACACTTGTGTTGTATCTTGAGCTGCAGTTGTTCGTAAGCGGCGGTAATCGCTTACCATAACAGGTGGTCCATCATTTGCCCTCTATTACATAAAAAAATAGGCAAATGTGTGATGTATATTTTTTTTTCAGGAATTGTGTTTGTATTGTATTTTCCATGTATACTGAATTACTCTCTAAAACGTAGAATCTCAAGTTTAAGCTTAGTTAAACTTATTTATAAGTAAAGATCGTATTTAGAGTATTTAATTATGTTTACAGGAATTAACGCGGTCACGATAGGCATTAACCTCCGACGCGTCGCCGTCACAACAGTTGTGACACGAAATTTTTACGCGGTAGCGTCTCTGTCACAACATTTAGAATAATATATATCAGAGATTCCAAATATGTTTATTTCATTGAATAAAATAACGTAGATATTGAGGTAATAATGACTTCGCTCAGCTGTGACTGGGTCACTAGTTCAAGGGCGCGACAGTAACGGGTCATAGGTCATCCGCGCGCCGCGACGTCCTAAGAGTTAAGTGCATGTTTGAAATACCTGACGACCAGAAAGCCAATTTTCAGTTCAGGTCAACTCTCGATCTCACAACCGTCATTAAAGTTATTATCGTAGTAAAGTATTAACATCCAACGTTGACTGTAATGTGATTATATCGTATTGTAACCGAAAATTGAATCAGTAATCTGCTAGTCTTAGTAACACTTTACTATTTTTCTACGAATACCTACTCCTTTTATGACAAGAGTAAATCGGAGCTGTATTTTGACCGAACTTTTATTACGAGGATTGGCTTTCAGGTTATCTTATCAAGGTGGTAGTGGTCACAGACCGACTGTCTCAACGGTATGTGCGTAATAGGATAAGTCATATGATTTACAAATCATATGATTTATCTATACATCTATACAAATAAATAAAATTGGAGTGTCTGTTTGTAATATTAAAATAACCACTTTTTACTAAATGCATATGTACATATGCCAAAATAACATTTTTTACAATTTTTGTCTGTCTGTCTGTTTGTTTGTTCCGGGTAATCTCTGGAACGCCTGGACTTATTTCGACGGGACTTTCACTGGCAGATAGCTGATGACATAAGGAGTAACTTAGGCTACTTTTTTTTAGACTAGCTTCGCCCCGCGGCGTTGCCCGCGGTTATAACAACAAACGCGGGTAACACCGCGGGTCTCAGCTAGTAAATCATATAATTTACAAAACTACTGCGACTTATTAGGTTATCGTAAGCGCGTTAATTCCTATAAATATATCTATATATTATAGAACACGATAGTGTAAAGGTTTGCATTTAGACTTTTGTCATTTAGAAGATTCAACTTTTAATCATTTCGTACCTGTCACAGTTCATTGCGACATTCTAGAACGTTCTTCAGGTCGGCTTTGTCATTTGAATACAAAAAAAATATAAATAATAATTCGTAGTTAAAAAAATATTCGTAGCAATAAAAATTCGGTCAATTTTACCAAAGGAATGTCAATATACATAAATATTTTTACATCTAATTGTGTGTGATTTTCTTCAGATAACATGGAAGTATGTTTTTTGCCGTTCATCATTCGTTGCAGAAATTATTTAATCTGCAAACTTATCAAAATTGAAATTAAATTTTCCAAACTATCAAAAATAATCTGTATTTGTAATATGTATCAAAAAACATACATTTTGTAATGATAATATAATATCATTATAACTACATAAATGACTTTATCCGACCTCAAAAAAATTTGAGTTTTTCGATTCGATTGTATGTATTATTTTTTTCGTTTCTTACTTCAGGACATTGTCATTTATGGACGGGTTGGGAATTATTTCCCAATTAGGGTAGGATTTCCACTTAAGGTACATTTCTCAATTAGGGTATATTTCCCAATTAAGGTATATTACACAATTATTTTAATAACTAAATTAGACATTCCCAGACTTTTATAGGTGTTTAAATTAAATTATGACATTGAAGATACGTTCCAATCGACTTTTACGATGTGGTTTCTATATATGCCTTCAAACAAATCTTTAAACAATTGTAGTTAACGGCCTTTTTCCTCATTAAAAAGTTTTGTGATGACACTTCGCAAATATAAATTGTTTTGTAGACATCTACAACTTGTCTGTGTGATCAATAACTAGTAAGAGCCTGCGGTAACCAGACTGCTGATAAACATACTTGTACAAAACAGGCCTCTATAAGTTAGTGCTCCTGTCTGCCAAGCCAGAGGTTGTGGGTTTGATTCCCACCCATGGACAAATATTTTTGTGATGAGCATGATCATTTGTTCTGGTTCTCGATGTAATTTATCTATGATATGTGTATATTATGAATTATTTAAGTATGTTTATCAGCAGTCTGGTTACCATAGTACAGGCTCTGCCTATTTGGGATCAGACGGCTGTATGTGACATGTATGAGGTTATTACTATTAAATAACTAAATACATGCAAGTTGTAAATTAATTACACCCAGACACAACAAATGATAATGTTCATCATACTATATTTTGTCCTGGGTGGGAATCAAAGTGACAACAATATATCTCACCAGCTCAACCATACAAAATTAACACGCAAATGTCTTAAAGATTTGTTTAGCATTGGCCAGTGACTATTTGTTACGCATTTGGCTGTCGTACTCATTCCATCCAGTGAAGACTTGTTTGTAGCAAAATTTGTATTATGAATTTAATATTTTTACTATAATTTTTTAGTGGCAACCTTTTTGCATTTTTTTTTAGTGATAATATTTTAAATCAATTTTGAACATAACGACTGGTAACTTTTTATAAGTATATGTATATGTGTTCGTTTTATCTTCAGTGTATTCTTTTGTGTATAGTGTTCATGACTGCATGTTTTTGCAAAACTTTAAACAAAACAAATAATGTAAATATTGTAAAATGTTAATTCTTTGATGATTTGTGGTCATCAGTAAGAAGGCTAGTCCATTCGCGTTTCAAGGACCAATCAGTTTCAAGAAATTGTCGTTTCGTACAATAGCTTGGAACCTGATTGGTCAAGATGCGGAGCGTGATCGATACGTCACTATTTTCTTAACGCGAATGGATAGACGCGTTTACCTGACTTACTTTAAGAAGGTATACACGTGATGTCTTTGAATTTTTGTCACTTACTTTTAGAAGGACCACAAAGTAAAACATGATTTTTTACGTGTCTTTGTTAAGTGTTTCCTGGAAACATGCGCATGCGCATACTATAATAGGCAGTTAATCGTACTAGTGAGTGATTTTATTTGTAACTTTTGTTGAATCTCATCTCTATATCCCAATGAATTTTGTGCAGCTTTTTGTTTTTATTAATAAAGATTTTGAATAATATTAGGGTTTTTTATTTATGCCCCGAGAAGTTATAATATTCTACCACATTCACACAACGCCATCTAGTTCCAAATTAAGCAGAGCTTGTACTATAGGTACTAGACAACTGATAGAAATACACATACTTCTTTTTTTTGTAAATACATACATATTAAACATAGAAACACCCAAACCAAATCACATTAAAATGTTCAAGCACAAAAATGATAGATTTAAGCGGGAATCAAACCCGCAACCTTTGGAAACTTAGAATAGCAGTCCGTTACACAAACCACAACGCTATCCGGTCGTTTGAACCAGTTCCAGTTGTTAGGACTTATAAAGATCGCAGGTTTCCACCATCATTCACTTGGATAATTAACGCCCCACTGAGCACTGTTGAAGGAACTTTCTCTCAACCAATCAGTGGAACCAACAACAAACCAACTATTAGTCATAACGGCGGGCGACTGCTGTAACTAAACCCTTTTGAGTTGCAGGTGTATGGGCGGCGGTAACCACTTACCGTCAAGTGTCCCCTACATCTATTAGTAGATTTGCCTACATTTATTAGTAGTTTTTTTTTTTAAATTTTACTTTACCACTTTGTCGGCGTGATTAGTAAATAAGGTTCAGGTTCAGGTAGGCCAAAACCCTCCTTTCTAAGGAGAGGCCTATGTCCAGCAGTGGACTAGTAAAGGCTGTTAATGATGATTTATGATGAAATTACAGGCTCTTAGTTCTAATAGTCTGTAAGATATATTATGGACAGACAGACGGACGCACGAACATGAAGAAACGAAGGGTTCCGTTTTTGCCATTTTGTCTACGGAACCCTAAAACGGGCAAGCTTTACAGTAGTCGCATGTGATATGTAACATCTTGCAGTTAGCAAGCATCGCATGCGTTCATTTTTTAAATCAAATATGCACTCTTTTCTGCTTCTTGTAACATACTTCCGTCCCTTTAGGTAAAATCATTTCCACAGACTAATCATGCAAAAACTAATTCTACTAATTTAAGGGTAGTAGTAATATGAAAAAAAATAAGCATATTATTTAGAAAAACACTCGTACGATGACTATCATACGAAAGCGTTTTTCTGACTTGAACAGGTCCATATGTGACTAAGCATGACTATGCTCGAACGGCTCGAAGGAAATGTTACCACGGCCTCACAACAAACCGGTGTCAACCAGTTCTTCCCATGCTTTTTATCGAGTAAGTGGGGTTACCGGAGCCCAAACCCTCCCTCTGATTCTGGGTGGAGGGAAATTTTAGAGCGTAAACGCAATGGTGACTCCTGAGTTGCAGGCTTCCATGAGCGGCGGTAGCCTTACCATCAGGTGACACGTCTGCTTGTTTATCCCCTTACACCATAAAAATCAAGTTTTGATACCTGGCAACACATTTTTACAAATAAAATTAGACAACATTTACATTATACACTTTATTTATAAGATAATACAATAATTAGGTTTTGGTAACATTCGTTTTACCTAATATATATAAAAACTACCCTTACAATATTTTATACAAAACATTTTGGCTTATAAATAAATTAAGACCAATATATCACACCCTTTCTTCTCAATAATTTTGACATTAAAGTTTCAGAATACCACCACGCATAAAATTGATTCAAAAATTCGTTAAATATCGTTTTATATGTTTATTTTCTATGAAAAATAAAACATTAAATTTCAAAACTAAACCCACCCACGTCCGAGCTAACCTATTGAAAACATTATTTGACACTGACACCCGCTTTAATATACCTAAAATAAGAACTGGTGGTCTGAGCCTTATGAGATAAATTGCTTCAAAATCTTTTCTCTCTTATAACCACATAGATTTATGTACATTTCTTACGATGCTAAGTCAAGACCAAGGTATCAAAGATATCTAGCACCTCGGAGTACCTTTTTTAATGTATAGTTACCGTTATTTATTTTTAAGTTATAGCCAAGATAGATATAGTTTTGCACGTTTGCAAAATGCCCAATACTGGCCTTTTATTATTTACCTTTATTTCTTGCTTGTTATATCCGAATTGTATATTTACACAAGACAGCCTTCAAAAAGGTCAACTAATTACATACATTTAGTTATCGAGTTAGTAATTTTTACATTTTTACAAGAGTAATTTCTCTCTTTCTTCTCCTTTCTTAAAAGTGAATTTTATAGTTTTGTTACATTTGAACCTTTTACGGAAATTCGTTGAATACATCAATTTTTAATGGTTACAACTTTGTTTACAAATAATTATGTCGAAATACGCGACACGTTCGGTTTTATCTTTAAATGTAAGGTGGTGTTTTTTCGTAATTTTACCCATGACATAAGAATTAGATGCATATTTTAAACGCACTAAGCCCAATAATTAAGAGTTGAGACCAACCTGAAATTGGCGGGCTTTTGATAGCTGTCAATTTTGGCAGGTATATTTTTTTCTACGGCTTGACTCGTGACCCATAATCTTACTTAGATAGAATGAAAATGGATTTTTACTATATTAAAAAATAATCTGTATGATAACCATGTTTGTATCGTAGAAAATTAAATAAAAAGTTTTAGAATTTATAATTCATGACAGTTATTTTACTTTGTTAAAGCCTGGTTTTATGGGGCGTATCTCTTGCATAAAGTTCTTATAAATCAGGATCGTAGCGAATCACCAAACTAATGATAATGTCGACCATAACACGTAGATCGCCATGCCAAGGAAAATAAATCGTGCTATCTGGTGTAGATAGTATAATCTGTAAGAGAAATATACAAAAATGAGCATCAGTTTATAATCTTTTTTCCCTTCGAGTCAAAAATGACTCTAAGAAAACTACCACGTAAAAAGATTTTTTTTTCTCAAAAACTACAATATCTTACAACAAACATAGCATAAGAAGGCAAACCCTGTGTGATGTATACATTACAAACTATTTTTAATTTGATTAAGGACATCGACGTTTAATTAGTCTCGGAATAATAGAATATTACCTTTTCCATTTAATTCTGGCCTGCGGAAGCGTGTCATCGCTCTCTTTGAACAGGTATCGCCTGATGCCGGCCAGGTATTCGTCGAAGTACTCATCCCAGTTTATCTCCGCCATACTGAATGGGTAGAGCTGGAAAAGTAAATTGTATTTTTTACTCGACTTGAAGAAGAGGAGGTTCTCAAATTGCTTGAATTTTTTTCATGTTCTATGAACTCCATCATTTACGAACCGATTTGGCAAATTATTCTTAAAAAGGGAGAGTATACTATGGTCTCATTCAATTTCACAGATAAATAAAACCCCTAAGGTTGTTAAATTAAGAAAAAAGAATACATTTTGTTTCTTAAGACAACTGCACTAGGAATAAATCCTGTGTCGCGGGGGACTTTACAAACATATATGAAACGGACACAAAGAACACCCAGACTCCGAACAACAACTTGTGGATCACACAAAGCGTTGCTCCATACGGGGATCGAACCCACAACACTCAGAGCAATAGGAAGCGGCGAGGTGACCGTTTAAACCATTACACAATCCATTCAGTCAAGTGCCCTCTATTCTAACCATTCAGAAGCTGGGTAGATATTTTACCAGAGTATAAATAATTTCAATCAGTGCCCACTGAAGAACTCTAACCTTGACATCCTGACATCATTATTGTAAAAGGTCAAGGTCAGCCTTCAAATATCTCTGTGGGTAGTAAAACTATCGCCCGATCAAATTTTCAAGAACATTGATGTAAAAGCTATTAACGACCCAATAGAAATCAAAACTTTCTCTTACCTTCTTGTCAACTTCAGAAGTCTTCTCCCAAAGCTCCTGTGTCTTCTCGTTCCGGAATATGATCTCCCTCGTACAGAAGTAAGATAATACTGAAGAGAACTTGTGAATTTTTTTGTATACTTTTAACATCCTGTAAAAAGATTTTATTCAAGATTAATAACAAGCAAGTGGGTAACTGTTTATCATTAGGCCAGCTGTTAAAGAGCTTGTGGTAAAAAAATGGCAACACTGTTTACCTACTGCGAGACCCATAAAGATATAAGTATATAGTGAACAAGAGTCCAAATTTTGCAATTTAATTTATTTAAAAGGGATAGAGGGTAATATCGGGCACCTATCTCTCTCGTTGCGTGTATAGCTTCCACTTACAAACAGCTGTACCCTGTGTTCTCTCTATGCTTATGATTATGACCACAATTAATATCGGTAATAAATTAAAACCTGATTATGTACGCTTGCGAGTAAAAGACTGTATCTATTGCGATAAATTCAACAAAAATTACAGGTCACAGAGTTCAGAATTCGAATGATTTAATCGTGCTTGATTTTTCAGAATCTGTATAAAAGTTCGGGCTGCCTTTATTGACATCCTAATACAATAAAGAGTTTCTTCGTTCTATCTCCATGTCATAGACTTGAGAGTAACGAAAGTCCTACATCGGAATTTCCACTCTGACAATAATGCCGTGCTTTCTCCATAAGTACTGTCAGTGCTGACGAGAAACTGTGGAGGATAGAAGTAACAATAGTTTTTAGTTATGTATAAAGTCAAGTTGCTATTTTCAATTTTTTATAGTTATAATGTTGTCTACTTGTATATGTGAATGCTGTGCATATTTGTAACTAGAGTAGCACGTGAACTTAGTTTGAAGCAATAATATGTATGAATGTTTGTGTTTATTCTATAAATATGCGTTAATTAATAAATAATAACTCAAAACTGACATCACATTAGTAGTATCTACATTGCACCCGTGCGAAGCTGGTGCGGATCGCTAGTATTTTACATATTTTATACACCTTGTGTTTATAGCAATTTTCTCCAGTGCTAAAAAAACACACTAGCATTTATCGACACATGTGTTAACCACACAACTGTTGTGTTCCGTACAGCAGTGCTAATGACACCTTGTGTTCCCGACAAGCGTGCTGTAACCCACAACTCGGGAACACAACAGTTGTTCACAATACTGCTGAAAACACACTCTACGTACATTGGTTTAGCAGTCTAAGGGAATTAGTATATATTATAGGCAGGCAGGTGTTAAGGATTTAATGTGTCAAATACTAACTTTGGCTTTCGTCCTAAACATAATGCTAATCCATCGACTAACACGGCTGGTATAAGATGTAGAAAGAATATGTTGATCTTGTTCATCAACGCAGACTTCGTCAGCCAAAGTGAAATGAACCTGAAAAATAAATAATAATTTAAGACAATGTAACTTAACTACAAATTAAATAATCAGCGGGAGAGCCTTCATAGCGTGAGCCAGGACCGTAGTTACTACGTAGTTAGGCTTGTTTCCGCCAGATGGCGCTGATGCAATTTTAAATTGGGATTTTTCTACAATTTTGACTTACTTAAACCTTTATTATTATGACAAGAAAAGAAACGTATAAAAAATAGATAAAAGATCGATTGTGATCACGTAAGGGTCCTTGAGTTGCACATCTCCTTGGGCGTCGGTTGACAACAATTTGGTGACCCATCTCCTCGTTTGCCTCCATATAAAAGAAAACTTGACAACACATCAGATAACATAGACTTCATTTACCAGATAGCGTCAGAGAACGGGGTGTGATGAAGTCTGGACATGTTGTGTAACACGAAGTCTCCCCACGTAATCCTGTTCTCCACGGAACTGACGTAGTTAAAGATGGGTGGCTCCAAAGGTGGTGAACTGTGGAGGAATAATGGCAATCATTAGTGACTTCAAAAAATCAAAATCAAATTGGTTCAAGTTATTTAAAGGTGTAGTTAATTTTTGGTCCAAAGGGAACACATTTTTTCTATTTGAAAGCTTTCATCGATCGCAAGAGAGTCATGCTTCGGGCACATATGGTACAGCTTGACAGGAGTGAGCCCACTGCCTCACAGGAAATTGGTGTTAAGCAATTCTTTCGTTGCTTTTCGAGGTTTCCGAAGCCCTAAATTTCCCCTCACCTTACTTCTTAGGGTAGGGGGACTCAAATGGTGGCAAGTTAAAGGTGCAGGCATCTATGGGCGGAGTTTTCTCACTTATCAACAGGTTTTTCTACTCTAAAATTTATCATTTTATTGCTTACTGCCTTTCTAGCCATTTCTTTGGCCACACAGGCAATCCATCTTTTCTTTGCTCGTCGTCTATTCTTATATCCGTCAATATCCAAACTATCTTCATCACATTTTGCTCCATAATATAATTTGTCCGTATCACAATCCTATTGCACTTCAATCCTTAAAACTATAGACTCTTAAGAAGTTCTCTCACAGAACGCCATCGCAGCTATGCAGGAGCCAGGGGTATGTAGCGTGCCTGATTGCGGCTATCGTGCGGAGCGAGAGTGCGTGGAACTCTGCCGTCTCCTTCTGCGAGCAAGTTTTGCTCGCAAAGGAGACGGCGGAGCGGGACCGGGAGAGGTTTAGGACTCTCCCGGCCCGCCAGGCCCGGGAACGGGCCAGGTACCGCAGGCGACTCAGGCGCCGGAGGTCGCAGAAACCTCCGTCCTCCATAAGCGCAGGTCTGGGGGTGACAGGTGAGGCCATCTGTCACCCGAGCAGAAGCAGGCCGGCAAGCGGTTCCCCGGCTATTAGTACCCGAGACGGCGTGCGGTTTTAGTCGGTTCGAGTCCGACATGCCACCGACAGGTGGTATCCGAGGGGATTTCCGCACGGAAAAAAAAAAAGGGGTATGTAGCGTTTCTATTAAAACCACCCTGACAGATGGTTAAAAACCTTCTTACCTTTCTTTGTAAGCGTTATGCACACTGCAAGCTGCTACCATGAGACAGTTCACCACCGAGTCAACTGGAACGATGTCTGCTGAAACCTGCTCATCACATTGAACCGTTCTGAGCATACCTGTGGCTGTTGAGTCAAGAAGAATGCTTCAGTATACATACCTATCTATTTAAATACCTACTAGTAATATATATCTGACTACATGCCCATAATTTCTCTGGTTTATGTAGTGCGCAGCCAGAGCTCGTGGGTTCAACTCCCACCCATGATAAATATTGCGTGATTAGCCAATGAAATTATATACAAGCAAGAGGGAGATACGCCACCAACGCACAAAACGCGAGGGTCCTAATTAGGACCACTGCGAGCGAGCGCACATACTAATTCATTCGAGAATATTCATAAAATGCCTTCCAGTGTATTCCGAACGTGCACAAATTACGATAAAAGGTAAATAAAGAAAAAGGAATATCATACCACAGGTCAGTGTATGTTTTGTTCTAAACTGCATTAATAGATGTATGTACGGTTACGGAACAAATATTTAGTGCGCGCAGTATGAATAAATCTTGTCTTCCTTAAAATATCATTGTGATTAGCACGGTCATTAATGTTCTCTGTCTGATTGTAATTTTTCTAAAATATTTATGTATTTAGAAATATTATGTGCCCGTTGCCCGGGGGGACTTTACAAACATACATAAAACGGACACAAAGAACAGCCAGACTCAGAACAACAATTTGCGGATCACACAAAGTGTTGTCCCCTGTAGGAATCAAACTGACAACACTCAGCGCAGTAGGATTCGGCTAGCTGACCGCTTAAACCACTACGCCATCCGTGCAGTCACCATAGTGTCTAAATATTATTATATGTATTTTAGAAATTAAAAATTATATGTATTTTAGACTATAAATTATTCAGTGTTTGTTTGATAGGCACTCAAAGTAAAATGAAGCATGTGATTTTTATAGAAAACTGTATAATCATTAGTTGTTATTTTTATTGCATTTGAAAACAAATCCTATTTTCACTTGTACACCAATTATCATAATTACAGATTTAGAATTTAAAAAGGGATGTCAAATAAATAACATAATTATTTAAAATGACTGCCCTGTAAAGTTCAATAAATGTAAGATCCGATAATACTCTAAGACCATGATGAAATGATACTTACCACTGCCAACTACGACACCCGTGGGCCCGTACATATTATCCAGCCAGCCTTTTAATGGTTCCTTGTCCGTTGATATAACTGAAATAGGTATATTTTAAATTTGTTATAGACATGTGCTTAAATTACATAATATCTAGGAGTGCATTTAACACTTAATATTTTTAACACGCTTTTATTAGCTTGGTGTGTATGTATCTAGTGGAATCTTCGAAAGTAATTTTGACACATTTCAAAACGTCGAATTAAATTGAAACGAACACACTATCAAGAACCGATGACAATACAATCATTTGATAAATTTGGTCGATTACCCTTTTTTTTTTCGTGCGGAAATCCCCTCGGATACCACCATCCCATCGGTGGCATGTCGGACTCGAACCGACTAAAACCGCACGCCGTCTCGGGTACTAATAGCCGGGGAACCAGGTATACCCCGGAAAGGAAGTCCCTGGTGCCTGGCCGATTACCCTGAACCTATACCTAAAAATACGGCAGAGTCTTTTGCTACGTACTAAGCGGCGTAAGCTGAAGCATATGTAACTTACTTACTTGTTACTTTTTAGTCTTACTAAGAATAGAATGCTAACTAAAAAATAAAAAATAAATTATAGTTTAAAAACTAAAAAACACGCTTTTGTAACTAGCCGAACTAAAAAAAGAAATTGTCGTAAAAAAGCGTGGGGTGCTTTTCAAGATGTTTTATAATATAATTTTACTTTCGTATCTGTCGATAAAATGTTTTTACAAAAATTGAGATCTAGCACCCGACACATTTCGACGATAAAATGATTAACTTAGAATTTAATTTAGAAAATTATTTTTTACGTTTTAGTTCGGCTAGTTACAAAAACGTGTTTTTTTTTAGTTTTTATTTAACTATAATTTATTTTCTATTATCTAATAAAGATTAGCAATAACAGAAAGTAGAAACCATACAGCTCCTTTTCCAATGTTAGACGTTGAACTAACGAACAAAATATAAATACGACTTTCTACCCCTTTCTGGATAGAAAAATAGTGTATGAAATATATTTATATAGATACTTTACCGTTTATAACTATTTTTTTTGACATCTGACACTAGGAATGTGATCCTGTGTCTTGACAAAGATACATGAAACGGACACAAAGTACGCCTAGACTCAGGACAACAACTTTGACATCACACAGTGATGTTTCATGAGTGGGATCGAACCCTTAGCGCAGTAGGAGGAGGTGAGGTGACCGCTTACACCACTACGCCATCCATGCAGTTTAAAGAGTTCCTTTTTTTAAAGTTAATAAAAAAAGTTACCGTTTATAAGGCAATGGTAAGTAACTACCGCCGCCCATGAACACCTGGAATAACCTTATATCATAATCTTTCTTACCTATGGCCGGCCTAAATATACCAATAGGCATCCCACCAGCGTTTATTCGCAGTTCCTTCTCTGCCAACGCTTTTGTGAATGTGTATGTGTTTGGCCAAGGTCCTAATACCCTGAAATATAAATAGAAAAGATTAATAAAAAACGAGATACTTTAATTGTTGAGGCAGGACATAGGCTGCTTTTTACCGACTTTTTTTTTGATAACCGACATAAACGCGGGTGAAGCCAAAGGCAAATGTTAGTAGTACCCAAGGACTTCTTTCTGATAAAATTGTCATGGCCCTCTCTGACCATGAGTCAAGCCTGGGGTGGTCGAAAGAAAAAAAACTTTGATTGAGAACAATGTAAAAAAATCTTTTTTGGAATAATAAATAGAAAATCCACACCACTGATCTTAGATCAGATCCATTGAGCAAATAGTACAACTAATCTAATCTAAAATCATCAGTACTAGATTCAGTATTAGCTGCTCTCCTGTATTTATGATGACTGCTCTGTTCCTATAGGCCTTAGCGTGATATTACAGAGCCTATAACCTTCCTCGAGGAATACTCTATTCATTTCAAAAACAATTATTGTGATCTGACATACAGTTTTAGAAATAAGTGCGTTTAAATACAAAAAGCAAGCCTACAAACAAACAAACAAAAACTTTTAAGCTTTATTGTATTAGTATATATATTTTTTATACTCACGTAGGTAATATATCATTAATCTCGCTGTCTGATAGCTTGTCAATCATCTGATGGAGCTGTTCGCAGTCAGCATCGCAGGGGTAGAATCGCTCTTCAATTTGTGGTAGATGTGAGTTGGAGTATGCTGTTGATATGTGCATTAGTACCTGGGAATAGAGTTCGAGGTTAACTATATAAATAAATGAACTTATGCTCTTTTTATCTGGTGTCTTGATTAAATTTTCATAGAATAAAATGTTGTGACTTGATTTATATTGTAAAGAAAATTATAGTTGTTTTGATTTACTTGGATTATATTCTGTGTCACAAGTAGTGATGTGCCGGATCGTTAACAAAGTATATCCGCGGATACGGATCTGAATACGGATATTTGGTGTCAAGATCCGCGGATACGGATACGGATCTTAAGTTTCTTACTCAATCGGAGCCAGTGACCTTGATAGTTGTCGCCACTTGACGCTTTGCCGTTGATATTTAAATATTTCATTATTTTAATAAGCTAATACAAAGATGTTTGATTGATTTCATTATAAAGATAGCTCTTTCAGTACCTACGACCTGCCTAGTTAATTTAGTGTAGTACGATAAATGATTGCAATACAAAGGTGCCAAATATTTGTTTTAAGAAATAAAAAGTAATCTGAACAGAATTCAATAGTTTTTCATAGCTACCTAATAACCATTATTCAGGGTTATTTTAAATTTACTGAAAACCTCTGAAGTGCATATTAGTAACATTATAAACAACAACATTTCTTCTGGACTAACACCGAAAACGAAAGAAAAAAAATTGTTTCTCCATACAAACTAACAACATTTGATTGGTCATTTGAATGGAGGACCAATTTTTTTTCATTTTGACCTTGGCCAGAAAAAAAGTTGCTGTTTATAGTGTTACAAACACATACCTAAGAGTTTTACAGTGAATACAAAATCACTTATATAGAATTTCATCTATGTAATATGTATTGAAAGATCCGCCAAAAAAGTCACGGATACGGATACGGTTACGGATCTCTCTTCTCCCTAGGATATCCGCGGATACGGATACGGATATCCGGCACATCACTAAGTCACAAGGTATTTCAATCGCCTCTTAACGTAATTAATATGTACAAATAAGAAATGTTAATAAATATTTTATACTAGCTACAGTTTCACCTGCTATAATAGATACTACCTAGATCTGAAAAAAAAGGAAAGTGGTGTTTTATATTCTATACTGACCCACGCAATTCAAAACGAATAAATTCTCCCTGTTTTTGCAACAATTTTTATTAATGCTCGGTTCTTATTGGACATAGCGTGATGTTATATAGCCTTCCTCGATATATATGCTATACTCACATCACACATCAACAACCTTTAACAGTCTACTGCTGGATATAGGCCTCTCCTTAGAAAGAAGATATTGGCCTACTATACCACACTGGCCAGAAGGAGTTGGTAAAGGGCTTGTGTCAAGTTCTACTTAAAGAAGATATATAGAGACTTAAATCGTTAACTGCTAATTATTATTTTTCACAATGTAATGAAGGCGCTGAAAGCCGTTACACAGTTCATACTAGTACGGCTGACAACGTTTACCATATCTAAACTGCCTCGGTGGCGCAGTGGTAGCGTATACGACTGCTGTGCTGTGCTGCTAGATTGACTGATAGAATATAAAAAACACCCAAACTCCGAAACAAATATTTGCAGATCATACAAACATTTGGTCCGACCAGGGAATCGAACCCGAGACCTCAGCATAGCAATTACAACACTACCACCGCGCTACCGAGGCAGTTAAAATGCATATGTTGCTCGAGTTGGTGTCTAACTCTCTCAACTAGACAGACACAAGAGCGTCGCTACTCTGTGAGAATTAGGGGGGGGGGGGGGGGGGAAGTAGATTGGGTCTCTGGTACCAGCACTCATACAGCAAACGCAAACAAATAATTGCTTAACACCGGTTTAACTAAATTTAATAATGTCACAACAAATTAAATAATAAACAAGTAAGCAGAAAGATTATTTAAAAGTTAAAAGCGGGCCAAGGACACTATAAGATTTCTTTGCATTTATAATTATACAACGTTTTACTGACTGCTCTACTCGCATCACTATCAATTTTATTATTCCATAACATTCAAATTTCATTCAGAACCATTCACCTTTTCTGGTCTGATTGTGTTATAAACGTCACACATCAAATACTCGTATGAGATTCATTTGAAAATTTTGTTGTGACTTTTTAACTTTTGTAAATATCTCTATTATCGTATGGAAAATAATGTGGAGGAACGGTTGTTATGTCCCTCAACGCCCTCCCCCCTCCTGTTGACTCGAGTGGGAGGAACTCCAAGGACAGCAACGCACTTGTGACTTTTGAGTTGCAGGTGTTCATGGGCGGCGGTAGTTGCTTACCATCAGGTGACCCGTCTGCTCGTTTGTCCCCTTAAACCATAAAAAAGGGAGGACCTCCCACCAGGTGAGGTTGTAAATATGCTAATCGGTGTGACTATTATAGATATCGCGTTAAAGGATTAGTTTTCACTGTTTTTGATGTCACCATACCACCATGTATATACGCCATACCACCTTATCGAAAGCTAACAATAAATGGTTGTATCAGAACCTACTAAAACCACATAATATAAAATCACCGTGAAGTAAGAAGGCTCTCACATTCAAGTAACACTCAGTTCGAGTTATGAGAGCACAATCCTGACCTACTCCAGCCCACTCCCTCCCTTTTTCCCTCATTATTAAGGTATTCCCGTCGTATCTACCTTTCCTTTCCATATTCCTTTCAGCCCTTCAAGAAAAGAGCGTACTCCTTTAAGGCCGGCAACGCGCTTGTGATTCCTGAGTTACAGGCATTCATGAGCTGAGGTCGTCACTTACCATCAGGTGACCAGTCTGCTCGTTTACCTACTGTATCATAAAACAAACACCCCCAAAATTTAATATGTAACTCCTCTCAAATCCGCCAAATAATGTATTTTAACTAATAATACAGATCTAGAGGAACTCTTTGAATATAATATGGTTCATGACTGCACGTATGGCGTAATGGTTTAAGCGGTCGCCACGCCTAAGTGCTGTCGGTCCGATCCCCACATGGGACTACACTCCACAAATTGTTGTTTTGAGTTATGGTGTTCTTTGTGTCCGTTTCAAGTATGTTTGTAAAGTCCCCTGCGACACAGGTTATACTTATTCCTAATGCGGGAGTTGTCTTTTAAAAAAATTACAAGAATTACAATTTGATAGACGAATGTTACAGACGGTGATGTACAATGGCCTTATTGCTAGAAGCAATCTCTTACAGGCAACCTTTGGATTGACAAATTGACAGTAGATCAGAAGAAACAAGGGTATTTTAGGTGTATTGAAGCTAAACAGTAGTGTTAATTATCGAACTCCTCCGAAACGGCTTGACCAATTTGTATTTATTTGGTAGGTCTGAGAATATGTCGTCAGCTATTTTTATACCCATATGTGATAAGGATGACTGTCCCTAGATTTTTTTATTATTTTTATCGTAAATATGTCAGTTAAGTTAATAAAGTACATTGAATTAAGAAAATGGAATAATTACTGTTTTGTTATTTTTATAGGCCGCCATCGGCCAGCGCTCCATTCCTCTTTTAGTCATAGACCCTAACCCCACATACTTACAATAAGTTAGTTATTTTTTATTTAACTACCAAAAATTCCACTATAAATAATTTATATGGCAAAACAAACTTTGCCGGGTCAGCTAGTATAATTATAAACATAGGCAATTATACATACCCATAAATATATACACACTATAAATATATATAATATATATTAATAACTATAAAATCCAGTGACGGATTAAGTATACGGAATGTCAAAACTCCTATTCATCCCGTGGGTGTCGTAAGAGCCGACTAAGGGCGCAAAACAACGCAGGACACCAGTACTGCAAAAAGAAGGAAAACTTGACACAAACCCTATACCAACCCGTCTGGCCAGCGTGGTATAGTAGGCCAAAACCTCCTTTCTAAGGAGAGGCCTTTGTCCAGCAGTGGACTATTACAGGCTGTTGATGATGATGATGATGATGAAAATATATAATATATATTAATAACCATTTAATCATTTAGTCTCTTAGCCTCTAGTAGACTCTTTAATCATACTCACATCTAGTTTCTTCATATCCCTGGCTAACCTGAGGAGATGTAGTGGCGCTCTCACGTTAGTAACTAAGGCTGCTCGGAGATGTTCATCGAACTTCACTGTTGCAGCTGAATGGAAGATTATGTTCACCTGGAAAAGTCATTTGATAAATTAGATTTTATTTACACTTCACACACGCCTTTCTGAGCCAAAACTAGGATAGGATCGTGTACACCACACAATTATCTGTTCTGGGTTTGATTTGAGCCCACAACCGCTACTTTAGCAATCAGGATACTAATACCTTCCATACTCAACAATAATCGGGTTATATTCATTCAAAGAAACACCAAAACAAAATTGATATCTGTTTCGAAACATTTTTTTTCTTTTTTTATGTTATGGGAAGGTAAACGAACAGGCGGGTCACCTAATGGTAAGTAACTACCGCATTCAAGCATATGTACCTCAAGAGTCAAAAGTGTGTGGAAGGACACACTTTGGGGTAGGGGCGAAGGGCTTGGACTCTGGTGACCTCACTCACTTGGTGAAAAACAACTAATGAATTACTGAGCTCTGATCGAGCCGGAGAGCCTTAAAGGTCATAGCTCATTACACCCACCCGACTCCCAACCAGCACTACCTCGTCTCGGTGTTCACTTGTCGTCGACGGGTGGTCAGCGAGTGGACGCCCCGTTGTTAACCAGAAAACGATACGACAGACACGTTCGACGGGGAGCGGTGTGCTGCCGATGCATGGTCCTTAAACGTGAACCACACACACAGACCGCGTGTGAGGCGCTCCGGAGTTGGTCTAGTGAGCGTTTAACTATAGTACTCCGTACAAAGAATACTAACCGCTGGAGGCGAGGCCTTGCTGGTGCCGGGTGGCTCTAATAAGCTATGACCTGAATCCTATCTTACTAATAGAAAAAGAAAAAATATGATCATTTCTGAAGTAGACTGGATATGCTTAAATAAGTTTTTAATATATAAAACATTTAAGGCACTGTAGCCCACCTTTTCGGTCAACATCTGTCTGTCTATGAGAGTGAGTCCAAGTCCCGCTGCTTCGCAGTCTGCAGGCACTACGACCACCTTGTGACGGAACTTTGGCACTTCTTCTTTTAACCGGCTGAACACCTGGAAAACAAAAAAAGATTATGACATTTTTTTTTAAAGACAACTCCCGCACCAGGAATATATCCTGTGACGCGGGGGACCTTACAAACATACATGAAACGGACACAAAGAACACCCAGACTCAGAACAACAATTTGTGGATCACACAAAGTGTCGTCCCATGTGGTGATCGAACCCACAACACTCAGCGTAGTAGTAAGCGGCTACATTAGACAAGATAATGTGCCTTTGGAATGATATGTTTACTATGACCACTTAATTTGAAATGGGGTAGTTTTCTAGGATTAAAATAAATTATTTTGCCAGAATCATTAATTACTCTATTGTCAATTTAATGTTTTTATTGTTTTCAATCTTCAAATCAGCTTTATATGTAAATGGTTTACCTACCTCTATTTTATGACTTCACGTCATAGTATTTCATACAAAAATATACCGCGTCTATCGTTTTGCGGATGAATAAAAAGATAATGATTTGATTCGATAGTCATCTATGCATGTGAACCATGACGAAATACCCATAATAATAATAAATTTGCTTCAAACATGTGTAGTTTACCAGGAAAGGAAATGAATCCTAAACAGTTCAATAGGTTAATTATTGTGTATCAACATGTTTTGCCATGGACGGCGTACAAATATAAATTGATTGAAGGTATATTTTGACAATAGGAATTAAATTAGTATCATGTGGGCAACAATAGGCTTGTGTCCACTAATAACAAATTGCTTAGTTTATAGTTTAAAATTATAAATTAAGAGATATAGATAAGAAAAAATCTGTATTACTATTTCTGTAGTACTATTTCTCATAAAAGTTAAAGATTATTAATATTTAAAAAAAAATTGTAAACATAGACAGTAAGTCACGTGACAGGGAATACCAATCAGAAAGTGTAACGTCACGAAACGCGAAACATCATTATTGTTGTTGACGTTTTCATACAACAGAGCAGGTTACTCCTTATTCCTTATTAATTTTTTGAAAACAGTTGACACTGGATACAGATGGAAACAATTTTATTTCGCAGACTGTGACGTCATTCAAGACGCCATGACACTGTTTAGCGTTTTCGAAGGCAATTTAAATTGTTTTTTTTAAATACAAAATACGTAATGTAAATATTGCTTTTTCTTTAAGATATAGGTTTTTGTGGATAAAATAGATATTAAAGTATATAATTAACCAAGTTTTCAAATTGAGTCAACTAGCCTATTATAGGCCATCATCGTCAATCATCAACAGCCTATAACAGTCCACTGCTGGACATAGGCCTCTCCTTAGAAAGAAGGTTTTGGCCTACTATACCACGCTGGCCAGACGGGTTGGTATAAGGTTGTTCTGCGTAGTTTGCTCCCTTAGTCGGCTTTTACGACACCCACGGGATGAATAGGGGTGGTGACATTCCGTATTCTTAATCCGTCACCACACGGACATAGTATATTATTATTCCCAATCTTATTTCTCCAACCTCTTCTTAACACTTCTTAATGGAACTACCCATGACTTATGCTATTGTATTTTGTTTTCTACAACTTTAGCCTTTTCGAGTTATTGGTTGAATTCCCCATTAAGGAATTTCTTTACATTTCTTATTCCTTTTTATTAAAATTTGAAATTCCTAACTAAAGTATATTACGCCTTATCACTCATTTCCATACCACCCTACAATAGAGTGGTAAATAATACCTACTGCATTAAGTCCGTGATAGTAAATATTGAAAAAGTTTTATTAAATATATTTTTTCCAATATTTATATTTCTCCCAATTTTTCCGGTTCTTGGTTGGCGGTAATCAGTTTGTACCTAATAGGTATTAAATAAGCTTTTGCATACACTTTTGGGAATAAACAAACAAAAAAAATACATAGAGAGCCGTTCATTTAGAGAAAATAAAATCTTGAGAGATCAATACTCTCTCTCTAATCAATATTGATTGATAAAATAGCAAAAAGATAAAATAAGGAATTCGTTTTTCACATTAAGCAATCAATTCTAATAACACATTTCATGTTTAAGTCCTGCGAGTGGACGGTTAACAAACATTGAATGGGTCAACAAAAGTGTCCTTTGTAAACATACCTTGGCCTGTCATGTTTGCTTCTCTCTGCACTTCAATATTATTGACAAAAGGATTTACAAACACATGTCAGGTGCATTGTTGATCTCAAATACTGTATTAAGGCCCACCGAAGACTACCTCGACTACAAAACAAAGGTCGCTGATTCAGTGTATTTCTTATGTATATTTGACTATCCCCTCCAAATCGAGGGAGAAATCACTCATCATTAGGTGACATGATTCTCAGCTCATTTGCGTCTCTATACTATTAAAAAACAAGGGCTCACTATTTGTAACTACGGCCAGTGCAACCAGATCGAAACGCCAGGCAATTAGCAAGCTATGTTATACCCAATGCGTGTTCGCTACCACCCCCCGTTAGGAAAGTATACTGATAAGGGCTAAGCAACTGGTCGATACTTCTCATGATCAGAAGGCCGCCCTTTTTCTAGCACAGAAAATCAGCATTGCCATTCAACGTGGCAATGCTGCCAGTCTTCTGGGAAGGCTACCATTAAGCGATCATCGCTTAATGGTAGCGTTCCCAGAAGACTGAAGGAATGGGAGGGAAGGAATATTTTGATGCTTGTGTGTAAATGTTGTAAGTATTTTAATTGTATTATAATATGTTTTTTTAGTTCATTTAATCCTTTTAATAATTATAATAATAATAATATTATTCCGAAACATTTACATCACAGTTTAAAACTCCTTGATCTGTAACCCAATACCTACATGCTCCTTCAAAAAGCTGCAATAGACGAATAGACCTAATAAACTTCTCCTAAGAACCCATGGCATTTACATGACTTAGTTCGTAAATGTCACTAAAATACTAGCAAAGCTGAGAAAGAACAAATTCAACATAAAATTATAATAATACTCATTTATTGCAGGTTTTAATTACATTTTTAATTTTTCTTTTTTTTATGTTACCTTAATATTTAGAATAAATAAATATGTGTTAAAAAAGTTGGGGTAGGTATTAACAATATTATTATAACTATGAGAGATGTTTGGCACTACCTCCGATCCGATCATCGGGTTCGGAACCGAATCCTTTAAAATATGGTCTGAAGTAGTCGTAAAACTATTTCTATGGTAGTTTACGGACTAGACACGACTTCCGACATCCGGTGATCTCCATTCCAAACAAGATTATTGACGGATTAAAGTAACCATACTATTATTTGTATGAACTCACCTAGAATTCTCTACTTCTTTTGTGTCGTTCGCACCTATAATAGCTTGCCAAAAGTTGACACCGATCGAAACGACTCGTGATCAACGATGTGAACGCTCCGCGTAAAATGACGTATGCAAAAAGGTAACCCCTGAATTGCTTGTATTAGAATCAGAGATCGCAATAGTGCGTAAACAATATACGAATGCAGTCAATCAGTCAGCCTTCCAACTCCGTAATCACGGATCAGAATTCCGAGATTTCTAGATCCATATTTTCACGGATTCCGATTGGACGTAGTGCGAAACCGCTCTTACTATAGCATTTATTATTATTATTATAAAACAGGCCGTAGATAGCCGGAGGTACGTCGGGGTACCAGGGATTTCCTGTCCAGGGTACACCTGGTTCCCCGGCTACTGGTACTGGTACCCGAGTATCTATCCGAGTATCTACCCGAGGGGCTATCCCGAGGGGATTTCCGCGCAGAAAAAAAATCAAAGGTGGACGGTTTTGAGTGTTGCCAGTTAAGATCTAATAAAAGATACTTGATGATCGCCAATAATGTCAGTAACTGTTTTTTTTTTCAATTAAAGTTCTAAATATTGGGTATGAATTAATGGTATATCAACAATAATACCAGTTGCCTTAGAGCAAAAGCTGGCAACCCTGAATACATTTATTTATTTGTGAAGGATGATTCAAGGAGTTAAAACTGAAGTACCTGTTATTTTGATCGGTTAAATAAATTAACGTTATAATCTTGACCTTTGTTGTATATGAGACCTCATATAAAGTAAAGGTCATCGGTAATTGGTTAACAAATATTGCTAAATTCTGAATTTTATTTGATCGAATATAAGTATTATTTATTTGCAGTATTTACTTCAGAATTGCACTTCGCTGTTATTTTTACTACTGTTATATATGCGTAAATTTAATTTAATGTAATTGCTTAATTGTGGCAGAACGGAACGGAATGGAAGATAAAGTTTGAATAGGATTTTGAGATATTGATAAGAATTTTCTTTAAATTTAAATAGAACCAAAGAATACTATATACCTATATATAAAGAACAAATCGGTTTATTAATGTCAAAGTTCTGGGGTAAAAACCATACAAAAATATAGCCGAATTGAGGCTCTCCCCTTTGGAAGAGGGGACTAGTAAATGGTGTAACACAGGCTACTTTTTCTCACAAGAAAAAATATTAATAATGAATCGTTTTTTTCTTTAAAAGACAACTCGACTTTTGAAGTAAGTGTGGAAATGAATACATACATGAAACGGACACAAAGAACACTCAAACTCAGAACACATACACACACAAATAATTGTGGATCACACAAAGTGTTGTCCCATCCCCCATGGGTACCATCAACACTCTGCGCAGTACCGAGGTGACCGCTTTAACCACTGTGCCTTCCGTGCAGTCCAATTATTAACGCGATAATCGACACCTCCCAAGCCAAAATTCAGCATTCTGTTTAGACTACAAAACTGTCGGGCGCGTGCCAAAGAAACATAGGTACAAACACTCGAAAAACCTAGCCCTCTGTAGTAGTAAAAAATGTCATTACAAATTTAAAAAATTAAGCGAAATTTAAGGAGAGGCGTATGTCCAGCAGTGGACTATTAAAGGCTGTTGATGAAGCGAAATTTATTTTCATATCCTGCCATATTAATTTTACATATTAACATATAATTACCCATTTATTGGCCTCAAGACGGTACGCCTTAAATCATTAAGGTACTTTTAAGGCGATACGACATCTAGGAGGTCTCAGAAAGGCCAAGGTTGCAATGAATATAATGAAAAAACTACAGGAACTATTTTTTAAAGGTACTTGACATTATATGGGATATAACCTATAAATTTTATATTAAAACAAATATGTCCATGTATTGATGTGTATTATTTTTAACCTCGGGTTTAATGTATAATTATCTGTAGTTTTATTTTTAACTTGCAATTTTGATGCGGGCTTTTGGTCTAGTGGTTAGTGACCCTGACTGGCTAATACAGATGTCGTAGGTTCGATTTTCACCCAGGATAAATTATTATGTCATTAGCACGATGGTATGTACATCATCAACAGACACTGCTGGACATAGGCGTCTTCTTAGAAAGGAGGCTTTGGCCTACTTTACCGCGCTGGCCAGACGGGTTGGTATATACACAACTATACAACTAACAAATATGTCGATCCTTTGTCACACATATACAAAACCCCCTTTTTATTAATAATGTTCTTTAGTTTAAAAAGATCCGAGTTTATCGTATTGACGACGCACGGCATCAAATATTTGACATCAAAAATTTTATTTTCCCATACAAAATGTAACATTTTGCTCGCATGTCTTTGTTGTTTTAATTTTTTTCTCGTAATTTTTCCATATTTTCCGACCGTTTTAACTTTCTCTGGACTTCCATAAATATTTCAAGGCCAACATTGTCCAAAATCCAGCCTTTCTGGACAATGTCTTTCATCTTTCTTTCTCCAATCCAGTCTTTCTTTATTAAAACTAACGAGCAGGAATGCATTTTTATATATAAGATTATACTTTTTTTTTTTAATTAAAACCATTTTACATTGATCTAGGTCACACACACATATTCAAATTAAGATTCGTATTGCAACACGTATTATAAAAGCAGGCGATACAAAGTATATCCTTGGGTATTAATTACACGTGTTAAAATGCATATTTAAAACTACTCTGCACATCATCTACTGCTTGAGAATTAACACGTGACACGTGCCTATTATCTGACGCTTGAAATACAATAATCAAATTAGTAAATCTTTTTCTACTTTAATTCATCTATACTTAATATCATAAATATGAAGATTTTTTGTTTTGGTCAAGAAACACTGTTTCGAATTGCGACTTCGACTGCACGGATGGCGTAGTGGTTTAAGCGGTCGCCACGCCGCATCCTACTACGCCGAGTGTTGTGGGTTCAAACCCCATATGGGACGACACTTTGTGTGATCCACAAATTGTTGTTCTCAGTCTGGGTGTTCTTTGTGTCCGTCTCATGTATGTTTGTAAAGTCCCCCGCGACACAGGATATATTCCTAATGGGGGAGTAGTCTTTTTAATAAAAAAAAAAAAAAAAAAAATTGAGATAATTTTTTAGTGTTGTGTACTCGTAGCTTATCCGTGTGGTGACGAATATGACGGTAAGAATATGGAATATCACCACCCATATTCATATCGTGGGTGTCGTAAGAGTCGACTAAGGGAACAAACTACCCAGTACCCTATACCACCCTGTCTGGCCAGCGTGGTATAGTAGGCCATAATCTCCTTTCTAAGGAGAAGGCTATGTCCAGCAGTGCACTATTAAAGGCTGTTGATGTGTGTATAGCATATTTATCGAGAAAGGTTATATAACATCACGCTATGACCAATAAGAGTCGAGCATCAATGGAAATTGTTGCAAAAACAAGGAGAATTTATTCCTTTTGAGAGACGCAGGTAAACCACTAAACAGATTTAAAAAAATCTTTCATCAATGGAAAGCTACATAATCACGGAGCAACATAGCTACTTTTTTACCGCGATAAACGACATATAAGGTAAGGTATATTTGATATAGTAATTTACTGTTGTCGTGAGATACCTGAATTGTATAGCAAAGTCTAGTAAGAGAAAGAATAGTCAATATCCAGTGAGGATTTAAGTTTAAAAACTTACAGGGTCTTCGAAGATCTCTTCCATTCTTGTGTATATGTCCTTCCCCTTCTTCTGCCGTACCAGAAGGTACAAGTTCTCTACGCCTGGGCAACATCTCAGCAGTTTCTCCACCAAGATTTTACCGAGGAAACCTGAAATATAATAAATAAAATTAGCTTATAATTAAAAAAAAAACGTGTGCGTCTCGGGTCGCCCGACAGAAGTGACAACTTAAACTAATCTAAGTTGAACCATTTAATATTGAAATTGTTTAACTTGAGAAAAGCTTAGGTTGTTACTTAAATTTTATGTGAAGCGTCTGTCCGAAATACAGCTAGTGCTGTGAGTGAGAGAGGAGGAGCCTGCCTACCGCTGCCGTATGCGTGAGAGAAAGGGAAGCCAGACAGACTGGCGCCGTAACGCATTACGTAACGAAGCGGCTTATCCTCCCATAAGAAGTTATCACTTGAAAATTAGGTTTTTCTTAAATGTAGACTTCCACAGTATATCCCTATTAACAACACGATGAATAATGTTATCAATGAAACACTTCTGAAATACTTCTATCGTGCTTGTAGGCAACGCACTTGTGTGCTAAATTTTAGGAGATCGTTGCTTTAATGTTTAGTAAGCCTGAGTGCTAAGCCGGAGGTCGTGGGTTAGGGGGTAAAATAAGAGGTGAACAATTGAATGTCGTAATTTTTAAAGTAATAAATACGAAATAATCATGCGAACGATGTCACAGGCAAAAGCTAGTTTTAAATATTATTACAGGTCGCTATCTAGGTACCCAATTAATCAGCTTGTGGTTGGGTCCACTATTTTAAGCGCAGTACCTGTGGCACACCGTGTGTTTTAGTCGGTTTGATTCCGACAAACCATCTTATCACAAATCTGGGTTCGGTGACGGTGGAGGTCGTCATTTATTTGTGAGACTAAAGGTCATAGCTCATTAGGGCCACCCGTCACCCGACCAGCACCGCCCGACCTTTAAGCGTTTTATTTTGCGAATATAACGTCATTCTGTGCTTCTAAGAATAATGTCAAGCGAAAACAAATACATTCTATGTACTTAGGATTATATAAATACTTCTAACTATCAAGTGGCAAACAATCTCTTAACCTAAGGTTAAATAAACCTAAATAAACCTTGTAGGACAAAATACTTATATAACCTACCTCAAAAAAGGAAAATTCGTAATTTTTTATATCCAAATCTTGTATTTAAAGAGACGGCTTAAAAATTAATGGATAAAACTCCAATTTCGAATGAGACAAGTCTTCCATTAAAGATCTATAGGTATTAAACACTAAGGATATCGATTGAATTAATACCATGGATGGAATAACTAAAATAATATTTAATTATATATTATACTAAGAGAAAGTGGTTGAGAGAAGAATAAGAGACGAGAGTGAGATAACACAAAGCCAATTTGGGTTTGCCAGGACGTGGGACAACAGATGCCATATTTGAAAATGTGAGGAATACAGGAGTGCGCACAAAAATTTGCATATGGTGTTCGTGGACCTCGAAAAGGCAAATGATAGAGTACCTCGAGAAGATTTGTGCTGGGCTTTGAAAGAAGAAAGAGTGCATGTTAATTTAATTACATCATCATCATCATCATCAGCCTATCGCAGTCCACTGCTGGACATACGCCTCTCCCATTGCACGCCTCTTAAATCCATTTTAGGCTTCTCGCATCCAGCTCAACGGATAGTCAACTGCATATTAGATGGAGGAAAACCTTACCTGTAGCTCCAGTTATCAAAATATTCTTTCCATCGTAAAATTTACATATTTCCGATACATTTTCAGAGTTTTTGTTCATATTTTCATCAACACTGTCACACATTGCACAATAGTTATCATTCCCATCGACCGGCACAGTTTTAATGGAAGCTTCTTGATTGGAGTCTGAGGAGTTTAGTTTTGTGGCGGCCATTTTAAATGGTGTTCTTACACATTTTTCTGTAACAAAGAGGAAATAAATGTTAGTACTATAAAAGAAACACAACATTATCCGCATGGTGACGGATTAAGAATACGGAATGTCACCACCCCTTTTCATCCCGTGGGTGTCGTAAGAGCCGACTAAGGGAGCAAACTAAGCAGGACAACAGCACTGCAAAGAGAAGGAAAACTTGAAACAAATCCTATACCAACCCGTCTGGCCAGCGTGGTATAGTAAGCCAAACCCTCCTTTCCAAGGAAAGGCCTATGTCCAGCAGTGGACTGTTATAGGCTGTTGATGATGATGAAAAGAAACATATACTCACGCCTATTTAAATTCAAATTCATTTATTTGCAGAATGTAGTATATACAACAGATATCAATTATTACAACACTGGTTCAGCACATTCTACCATGACAATGGTGTGCAAAAGATCATAAGGTGCTGCACTAGCAGTTCACAGTCCATACTAGGAAAATTTTATTATTAAAAAGTTCTTCTATACTATACTCACTAATTTATAGAATAAGTGAGATAAACAATAAAGAATTGCCAATGAAATCATGTCAGCTTTGAATATTATTATGAATTAAAATAATTATACTATATTGTATATTAAAATTGAAATTAAATGATAAAAATAATAGTAAATTTTGTATAGGACGGATCGCAATTATGTAAATGTCATGTTGAGGTAGGCTCCAAATATTCATTGACTGAGTTGAAACATTTTTGTGTGAGATATCGTTTTTTTGGAAAAGTAGTGGTTTTCTTTCGTTTTTAATAACGTCTGGTAACTTGTTAAATATTTTAACTGCTATATAGTATCGGCTTTCGTTTAACATTTTTATTCTTGACAGAGGAAGGTATTTTTGTGCCGGGTGTTTATGGTGTGGGTGTCTTTTACTTTAGCAAAAGCATCAATATTTTTGAACACAAATACGCATATATATATTGAAGGCAGAGTTAAAAGTTGAAATATAAAAAAATGGTTTACAACTCTTCGTGTTATCAATTTGGGCTAGGATTCTTATACATTTCTTTTGCATTATGCTATTTCCCCATAGCATGACGCCATATCGCAGCCACGAGTATGAATACGCGTAGTAAGTAGACAAAGCTGTCTGTGTGTTGGTAGTTTGTTTAATTTGAAGAAGGGCGTAAGAAAATCTGAAAAGTTTTTATTTAATGTGTCTATGTTCATGCCAAGACACATTTTTTTTTTTAATTTTTGTTAAGTAAGTTTGTAAGTATTATTGTATTTACCCGAAAAGAGTAGAGAGAGGCGTGTTAAATGCTCATATTTCAGTGACTTTAATTTTAGCCCCACCTACTCCAATTAGTAGGCAAGCCTATTGCATCAACGACTCCTTAGGGATACAAGAGCCAGGAGTATGAGGTGTTTCCACTAAAAACGACGACCAGCCTTAGACGCCTTAGGGAGGACCAGGGCCATGTGATTTCAGGTCTCCCCCAGATCGACGTCGCACCTAACTAGGCCCCATCCCAGGGAAAGCCAGGGGATTCCTCCTGCCTACCACTAAATGTTACGACCAAATTACATTTTTGGTGCTATCAGGCCGACATCCTATCCCCTACAGCAGTAATTAATCTGCCACCACCACTCCCCACTCTCTGGCGGCCCGAGATTTTTCTAGACCTAACCTACTAGCTGCTGTATACATACAATACATACTAGCTGTGCTATTTGTCTTACTAACATAATAAATCTTTACAATTATTCTAATGACTTTTAACTTTATTGCGAAAATTATGATTTGTTTTTAAAGCAATAACAAAATAAACTAAATATTGCTTATAAATGATTATTATCAATGCTTATTTTCAAGTATAACTTACTTAAAATGCAAATAAACAAAATTGTAATGAACAAACGCAGTATAATGTAACTATTTTACCTACATAAATTTAATAAACACATGTCGTAACGTGTCTAATTAGATTAAAATAGAATAACATTTATTTCATAAAGCACAGCACACAAAAATAAAACAACATACACAAAGAAACTGAAAATCAAGTAAGGTTTGATAAAGGCAACATTTTTCAATGTGTCAATCTATCATTTTTGACAGAACTGACATGACACGTCAATGTGCCACGCGTCCATAAAATTTTACTTATAATAACTATGTTAGTACTTATCAACTAATACTTATGAACCTTTGTACCATAAAAAAACCTTTAATATTGCTGAGGATTGTACGCCGTGCTTCAGAAAATAGGGGGACCCTCAGTGTACACTGTAGTGGATAGATGCCACTTCAGTACTGATTTTCAGTGCCCACCTTAGTTGTCGCCCTGATGCCGACAGTCGCAGTTGCATATGAAAATGATATATACAAATCTATATATCTATTTCTTTTATATCAAACTCGGTTACAGTTTCGGATAGCTTTTAGTATCGGATAGTCCGTGTGGTGACGGATTAAGAATACAAATTGTCACCACCCCAATTCATCCCGTGGGTGTCGTAAGAGCCGACTAAGGGAGCAAACTAAGCAGGACAACAGCACTGCAAAGAGAAGGAAAACTTGAAACAAACCCTATACCAACCCATCTCGCCAGCGTGGTATAGTAGGCCAAAACCTCCTTTCTAAGGAGAGGCCTATGTCCAGCAGTGGACTAGTATAGGCTGTTGATGTGATAATGATGATGATCGGATATTTTAAGGTTGCAGATCTCCATGACAACTCTAGTACATCATCATCATCAGCCTATTGCAGTCCTCTGCTGGACATAGGCCTCTCCCATTGCCCGCCACTTAGATCGATTTTAGGCTTCTCGCATCTAGCTCCTCCAGTACATACTAGCATACAATTGATATAATTTACCACATCATTGTTCGAAATGGTCTGAAGATCCTTATTTTGTCTTATAAAATTCGCATATATCCGACATTATTCGAAATATTAATTATTATGAGCGATTCGGATATATTTTTGTGTCACACAATATCTAATATGTTTACTGCTATTACGATTCCTGCAAGACATGGTCTTAAGACGTCTTTTATTAGGGGGTAGGCCCAACTTTTCCCTTTAATCACCTTTCCTAAAGAGAAACCCTACCTTTCTTGTAATTTAAAATACATTTAAATGAAAACGAATAGCTATCAAGTCCTATCACACTTCATTTACTCTCATCACCAGTCACCACACGTAATTTATACTCATCACTAACCCAGTAACCTCTACGGTTGTTTATATAACAGTTAGGTAACCAGTTTAAATATTTGATGCCATAGACAAGAATGCCGCCATTTTGATTCTAGACGTGTCGTTAAAAAAGTTCAATTTGAATTTGCCTATTAGTAATTAACTTTTTAAAAGTATCAACATCTTTAATGCCTGCATAAACATCCTCCAAGCTTTTCCCCAAGCTAGGTTCGGATTTCAATCTACTACAACACAGCTGAACTTGACTTGACAATCATCAGATTAACAACCCAAGTACTAGAAGAATATCGAAGTTCTGTAGATAGACTGTTATCGACCTCTTTAGGGCTCCAATTACCGTAACGATTCCTACAGATGTTCGTATGACAACCGGGACCGAGGTTTATTCTTAATTTTTACCCTTAGGGGTGATAATTTTTCTTCGAATATGAATAGACAAGGAAGGAAGTCAAACCTAAATAAAAAAAATATTTCTAAATTCATAAATGACAAAGACATCGTATAAGTAGGTTATATCTTTAGTTTAGTTACATATTAAGAAAAACATTTACAAATGTCAAGGTTAATCGTTACTTTAATTGAAACGTTGCTTAATTTTAAATGTATATATTATAAAGCCGCTATTAAGTTTAAATATTCATATTATGCAATATTATCTAGCGAGAGTGTAGGTGTGTAAACACTAGACCACCTCTTGCAAGGAGGTTGTACTGGCCTTGTAACAAGTGACAGTGACAGTTTAACAGTAAGTTAAAAATATTATTACATTAGAAAGTTTATATATTAAATCAAACACAAAGTAATTCGTTAATAAATAAATTATTGAAAAAACACAAATAAACACTCGATTGTGTGAAAATCTATACTTAAAATTTACAAACTGGTGATTTAAATTTTCATTTACAACAGTGACACTCAAAATCCATTACGACGCGCGCCGTTAAGAGTATACACACATACATACACACATACATATCGGTAATAAGAATTGTTGGGTAATAAGAAATATTCCCCCAATTTCAAAGAAAACATGACTAGACAAGTATTTAATTCTCTGATATAGTTTGCCCATATATTTAACTATACTACCGAATATATTTGTGTACATTTAAAAATATGTACACCCAACAAATTTAGCTTTTTTAAAGAAGTTTAAGAAATTTAATATTATCATTGACACGCTTCTATAAATAAATGAAATTTACCTTTCCTTTAAAAAAAGTAAAATTACACTATGACCGAACCAGTACGGTTGTATCACTTTTTTATAAATCACAATTTGCTAATACACCATGACTTTGATCAAACCAGAGACTACCAAAATGGACGTCAGTGTATTTAAATAAAATACAAAAAGGGAGTGAAATCTCTGAACTCAACTCACTCAAATAACCACATATAACTAACCGTCTTATTTTTTTACTCCTTCCTTTAATACTGGTTGTGACAGACTTCGGGATTTTACACAACAAACAGTTTTCTGTAAAATGTATTCTCTAACAGTTACCACTGCTGTCAATTTTAATGTATTGTGACAATATTTTTGATGATAATAATATTAACCTTAAACACACTCGTACATGTGCGTGCATTAGTAATGCATTAGTAATTCATATATAAAAAAAATGAAGTGTCTGTTCGTAATGTCAAAATAATAGGTTTCTTTCATGCTCACAGGGTTAACTGCACGGTACCTATGCCTAAAAACCAGTTTGTTTGAATATTTTTTGTCTGTCTGTCTGTTTGTCCTGGTAATGTTCCAAACGGCTCGATCGATTTTGATAGTATTT